CTCCGGTCCTCTGGGCTATCACCACAGCTGCTCTGGTGGACACCCTGCTGTGGGCCCCGAAAGAACTTTGGCATTTGCTGAAAGGTCATCAGCTGCAATTTTAGATCACTGGGTAACTCGAACTTCCAACATTTAAATGTAGCTGCAAGGAGCGTGGTTGCTGCACTCAGCTGTCGGCCTGGGCTGGGTGGGGGCAGACGCCACAGGCCCTTCCCGCTCCTTCTATGGGGCATAGTTGACTGCTCATAAATGGCACTGACCATCCGCAGTGTGCTGGGTGGGCACAGTGCTCCTCTGTGTGGTTGTTTTAAAGCACAGCTTGTTTGTTTCACTTCCAATCTGTTATGAACACTACTTTTATTTTTATTTTTTTATTTTTTATTTTTTATCCTCACCCGAGGATATTTTTCCATTTTTTTGTACAGATAGAGTGGGAGGGAGAGAGAGGAAGGGAGAGAGAGAGAGAAACATCGACGTGAAGGGACACATCGAGTGGCTGCCACCCGCACGGCCAACCAGGGCCGGGGACAAACTGCAACCGAAGTACTGTGCCCTTAGCGGGAACCGAACCCGGGTCTCTCCGGACCGCAGGCCGACGCTCTAACCGCTGAGCCAAACTGGCCAGGGCTATTTTTATTTTTAAATTACTTTTATTAATTTATTTTTGTTATAGATGTTTCTCCTTTCTCCCCCATTGACGCCCTCCTTATTTTTATCTTTATTTTTTATCTTCACCTGAGAGCATTTTTCCATTTTTGTTCAGATAGGGTGGGAGAGAGAGAGGGAGGGAGAGAGACAGAGAAACATTGACGTAAAAGGGACACAAGGAGTGGCTGCTACCCGCAAAACCCTAACCAGGGCCAGGGATTAATTGTAACCAAGGTACATGGTGTTGGCTGGAACCGAACCTGGGACTCTGGTCTGCGGGTAGACGCTCTAACTGCTGAGCAAAACTGCCAGGGCTGAACAAATACTTTTATAAAGCAGAATAAAAAGAATCACTGGAAAGTCAATAAACACATGAAAGATGCTCAACATCACTAATTTTTAGGGGAATGACTATCAAAGCCATAATGAGATGTCATTTCACTGAACTCATCAGAATGGCTGGTATCAAAAATCAGAAAATAACAGCAGCTGGCAAGGTGTGGAGGCATTGGAACCCTTGTGCACGCCGGTGGGGGCATAAAATGGTGCAGCTGCGTGGAAAGGGGAACAGTGGTTTCCCAAGATATTCAATATAGAATTACCACATGAGCTAGCAAGTCTACTTCTGGGTATGTACCCCAAAAGACTTGAAAGCAGGGACTCAAAGAGACATCTGTGCAACCACATTCGTGGCAGCATTATTCATGGCAGCCAAAAGGTAGGAGCAACCTAAGTGTCCACTGGCACTTGAATGGATAAACATTCATACAATGGAATATTACTCAGCCTTAAAAGGAAGGACACTCAGACAAATGCTTCAGTGTGGATGAGCGTTGAAGATATTGTGCTAAGTGCAATAAGACAGTCACACAAGGACAAATATTGCATGATTCCACTTATATAGGGTACCTGGAATAGTTACATTCATAGAGACAGAAAGTAGAATGGTGATTACCAGGGACCGGGAACTGAATGTGAATTATTATTTGCTGGGCACAAAGTTTTAATTGGAAGATGAAAAAATTCTGGAGCTGAATGGTGGTTGTAAAATAATTGCAAATGTGCTTAATACCACTGAGCGGTACACTTAGAAATGATTGAAATGGTAAAAAAAGTTACTGGAAAAATAAAGTAAAAAATAGTTGTAAAATATAAGCCCCGATTGTTTAGTGTTTGATTGTAATTTCATTTAAAGTTAAATTACATTTTACTGTTACATTTAAATTACGTTTTAATAAACATGACCAGAACAAACATAACACATGAAAAGCGTTATAGAAATTTTTACGTTCAACTTTTCTACTTATCTGGTCATAGACCAGTACAGTTTGTAGACTGTCCATAATCCATTTGCATTTTGCTTTACAATAAAGTGACTTTTTAAAAATGTACAGCTCTATGAATTTTTAAAAATTTTTTATTATGTATTTTTAATCCTCACCCAAGGATATGTTTTCCATTCATCTTCAGATAGAGTGGGAGGGAGAGGAAGAGAGAGAGAGACATTGATGTGAGAGAGACACATCGATTGGTTGCCTCCCACACGACCCGGACCCCAGCTGGGACCGAACTGCAACCAGGGTACAGGCCCTTGACTAGAATCAAACCTGTGACTCTTTGGTCTGCGAGCTGATGTTCAAACCGCTGAGCCAAACCAGCCAGGGCAGCTCTATGATTTTTAACACATATATTCATAATCAGGATATAGAACAGTTCCATCAAGCAAAATACTCCTATTTTCTGTTCCCTCCCCTCACTCCTAACCCCTGGCAGCCATGGACTTATTCTCTATCTCTATAATTTTGTCTTGTTGAGAATATCATAAAAATGGAATCCTAGAACATAACATCTTTTGAGACTGGCTTCTTTCACCAGCACAGTGCCTTTGAGGTTCAGCCTCGTGCTACATGTAGCAATAGCTTGTTCCTTTTTTTATTGCTGAAAAGTATTCCATTTTATAGATCTACTATAGTTTATCTCTTCACCCTTCAAGAGCATGTGTGTGCTTGTAGTTTCTGACCATTAAAATCGAGTTTCTATAAATATTCGTGAGTTGGTTTTTGTGTGTTGTACATGTTCACTTCTGTAAGGAAGATTTGACATCCACTCTGCGTGACATTGCTGTGCACCCATCATGAAGGAAACCCTTCCTCGGTGACAATGTTAGATTTCAATGGGAACCAGTCAGCCAGGCCCCCTCCATCTGGCAGTCATTCACTGGTGACACCAGCTCCTTCTGTGATTATGTCCGAGGAGTCACAGTTGGACTCCCATGTGAAAGACAGACCAGTTATTTGTTACTGGTCATGCGACTCGTCAGGATCTATAGCCCTCCAATTCCCAGAAGCTCCAGGGAAGGAAAGAGAGAGTTTTCTGGTTGAGATCCTGGTGATGTCAAATTTAAGATGCTCTGGCACAGCGGTTCCTCCTCAGAACCATCTCTCTCTGCAGTCCTCGCACAGGTCCGTGCACAGAGATGAGGAGCTTGTCACAGCCCTGTCTGCAGAGCACAGTTTCCAAAGCAGTCTAACCGGCCACACTGGACTGCAGTACGTCTCTGTGTACCAACACTTGGCGGCACTCTATTTACTTATTTTTTTATTTTAATCTTCACCTGAGGATATTTTCCCACTTATCTTCAGATAGAGTGGGAAGGAGGGAAAGAGAGAGAGAAGAGAAATACCGACGTGAGAGAGACACATCAACTGGTTGCCTCCTGCATGACCCCGACCAGGGCCGGGGTCCAACCGCAACCGAGGTATGGGCCCTTGAATGGAATCAAACCCGTGACTCTTTGGTCCAAGGACTGCTGAGCCAAACTGGCCAGGGTGGTGGCAGACACTAGATGGGTTGATTCAACTCCTGCAGCAAGGGATCACCATATGACATAAATCTGGCCAACTCTACATGAGTAGAAACCTACTGGGGTGGAGGCTAGGGGGTGTTCTGGAGAAATGTTTCTTTTCTAATAAAAGGGAACTGATGCAGTTGGAGCTGCCCTTTCTCTCCTGTGTGGGTCTTCCATACGGGCTAGATGCTCAGAGCTGTGATGTCCATTTGTGCCCATGAAGTGACAAGCATTTCAGCACCAAAGATCACAGAGAAGAGACAGAGGTCTCTAATGAAACATTTGAATGGCTAAATGAATGCCCGCAGCCACCTCTGAGTGAGTTGAGAATATAGGAGAAAAATAAATCCCCACATATTTAAATCACACTGAGTTTTCTATTACTTGTAGCTAAACACATTCTCACTGGAATAACTTTCAAAGGAAAAATCAAATTACAAAGCAATGTGCAAATTCTAACTTGTGAAATGAAATTTTACATATATATATCTACATATCTATAGCTATATATCTACACACACACACACACACACGAGAGTTATATATACATCCAAAACTTGGAAGGGTAATAATAGTGAACAAGTATTGAGCACCTACTGTGTGCCAGGCACATCTTACCACTTTAATCCTCACCTCCACTCTGTAAGGCAGATAGATGTTTTATCATTCTCCCGATTTACAAGTGAGGAAACAGGTTTGTCCAACTAGCAGATGACTAGCTGGGGACTCAGAGTCAGGCCTGTTTGTCCCCAGAGCAAGTGCTTGGGCCACCCTAGGCAGCCCCCACCTGTGCTATGACCAAAACAGAGTCCCACCAGCTGAAAAGGTAGTTATGTCTAAGGACTGGGTTGGGGGATGGCCTGGTGGTGAGGACTTTTTTTTTCTGTATATACTTCTGCAGTGTTTCCTTTTCAATAAGCAAGTATTATTTTTGTTCGAAAACAGCAAATTTAGCGAAATTGATAATAATAACCCTGGTTCTAGGCACTGTGCGAGGAATAGACTTCATTTCCTCTAGATTTGGATATCTATTATGGATGTCCATTCAGTCTTACACGCTTTTGGGAAATAAAAAGCATCCGTCAAACTTATATGAAAAGACCCTGGCTAAGAGGCCCCAGGCTTGCCACCACCTAGACCCCAGAGATTTGCCAATGTACTTTCTATAGTCGTGGGGAAGTAGGTTCTGCAGTAGATGGCTGTGAAGAATCCTTTTCAGTCCTTGAATAAGAGGGTTTTATGGTTTTTTAGTGGCTGGATTTCTCATTTCCCACGTATTACTAAGTGGTTGCTGCCTAGCATCTCTAAAGAAAGGAGCTCATCAAGAGGAGTAGGTCTGTGTCTCTGGGCTTCCCGGTTCTATTTCCAGCCTGCTGAGGGGCCTTGGCCGCCTCCCGGATACCCATGCCAGAGCCAGAGCTATCCTTGCGGGCTTGCCCAGTCATCTCAACCACGTGGGCTGGGGCACTTCTCCTTAAATAAGTTTTGCAGTTGCCAGCTCTGATTCCAGGGAGCTACAGTTCCTGGAGATAAACACGGCTTTCTGCAGGGAGAAAAGAAGGCTTTGAAAAGTTACCCGCCACAATGACGGACAGAAGCCCCTTCGAAACCGACATGCTCACCCTCACCCGCTATGTCATGGAAAGGGGGCGGCAGGCCAAAGGGACAGGAGAGCTCACGCAGCTGCTGAACTCCATGCTGACGGCCATCAAGGCCATCTCCTCCGCGGTGCGCAAGGCCGGCCTGGCCAACCTGTGAGTCCTGGGAGCAGGTGCGGGGACACGGAGCCGCCCCACGCGGGGAGAGGGCCCAGGTGGGGTGATTGGGCAAGCTGCAGGTGCTTGGCGGGAAATCTGGTCAACGTGCTTTATCTATGTGCTCTGGACAGAATTGCCTTAAGGTTTCTGTCACATGTGCTTTGACTTGTTTCAAGAAAGGAACAAAATAATTAGAGACATGCGATATATACATATATATGTGTGTGTGTGTGTGTGTGTGTGTGTGTATGTGTATAAATAATTTTCCAGTTGCCATGTGTTATAATGATAACAAGCTCAGTGGCTTGTTACATGAAAACAGACTGAACTATGGTGACTTTAGCATTTGCATCCTCACCGGCACAAAGAAACAGCCAGGAGACTCTTCACACCCTTGGCAGATGGGAACATTTTATTGTCATCACCTTTGCCAGGACATGAGGAGACAGGGATCATTTACAAATAACTTCCCAGAGCCCCAGCCTACATCTCCTTTCTTACCACGGAAAGGAGTCTTGCTTTTAAAACAACTTTTTAATTTCTTCTCCGTGACTTTTTATCTTTTCCACTTGGTGGGCAGGAAACTGGGAGGTACTGGGCTTGGGAGGATGGACTGTACGCTTCTACACTTTGTTCTCTTTGGTGCTTCATCCAAGCAAAGAATGAGTCCAAGTTCAGGCCACAGCTGCTGAGCGACACAGCCAAGTGTCCAGTCTAAGTTTCAAATAAAAAGAAGCAGTCTTTGTGGACTTCCCTTCCTATTATAGTCATTCTAGTGGAGGTCCTTGCAGAAGTTGAAAGGACCCATTATTATTTTTACTACTCCAAAGTGAAGAAAAAACAAAATCCAATATTTAAAAATTTATTATTATCAATTTAGTGCTTTTAACAGAAATGGGATAGCATTATATGACAAGATATAATTATCACAAGATAACTACAGAATTGTTTTTACAAGTTTTGTGACCTAGTAATGGGATCCAGTTTAAGATGCTTTACGATGAGCTTTTCCCTACTCTGTGTATTGCTGTCATTCAGAGATAATGGCCAAGCTCTACACTTAAGGACGTTCACGAATGTGAGGTGCAGCCATTGGCCTCTGTCCTGCTCCTGCCAGATGATGGGGCCTGCTGAGTGACACTAAGTAGTGCCTTTGCCTCTCCCTGAATGTGGGCCCTGCTTTGCTTAGTGCCCTGTCCTGCTGACATCTCAGTATTATTCACCCAAGTCCATTGAGCTCCGCGTCTGGGCAGGACGCTCAGCTGGACAGCGGCTGCTGGGTTGTATCAATAGGCCGCAGAACTGACTCTGTGGCAATTAATGTCCAGATGAAGAGGACCCAGGAATTGAATAATTAAGGTGCTCCTCTGACTTGGCTTTTCCACATGATCGCTGGCAATGATCTATTCTCTCTAGGACCTCAGTTTCCCCATTTGTGAAATTGAGAGGGTACTGATAGCCCAAAACTTGTAGGGCTGTTGTAAAGGTTAGTAAGTTCATGTGATGATGATGTCGACAGTGCCAACCCTAAACGCTCAGTAAATGCTCTTTGTTATCCTAGTTCAAAGTACAGACCTGGGGAAATTTGCCAGCTGGCTGGTCGAGGCTGCAGCATGACCACTAGGTGGCAGGCGCAACCCGTGGAAACAAGAGGTCAGGCGTCCACGTTTTCTGGGGAACGGAATTTCCCTTGGTCTGGCAGGAACTCCACATTCTGAGGGTTCAGACAGCATTCTCCCCCCTTTCTCCTTGTAAAAGACACACGAAGTGGCAGCGGGATAAACCCATTGGCTGGAATTTTTTTTTTCTGGCAAGATGCTGAGATTATTTTAAGAGGGACTGCTTCTCAGAGAGCTAAACGGTTGAACTCTGTCCCGAGGTACTCTGCTGGGAGCTGGAGACTCCCACACGCTCCCGCCACTTCCCAGTTAGGGGCCGCAAGTCCCCCATCCTTTGCTTTCTCTTTTTGGGAAGACATTTCTAGGCACAGGCTCTATTAATACAACTTAAAAGTGATCAGACATTTCCATGTTTTCCTTCTTTTTTCTCCACTCCTTGCTAGGATACCTCCCCTGAAAACCTCTCCATGGCTTTTCTTGTCAAAATGTTTGAATGTCCCCCTTTAAAATGGTCAGGAAAGCTTTGGTGTTAGTTAACATGCTAGAAGGTATTGTCCTGTGGGTTATGAAACACCCCTTCACCCGTGTTCTAACCGGGAGCCGGAGCCTTGTCAGGAAATCAGGCCTCATTGGAAGGAGGGATGTGGGTGTGCGACACAGCAGGACACCCCGCCACTGCAGGGAGGGAGGGTGAGATGGCCTGTGAGGGGGGGTAGCCACCTCAAGAATCCACATTAAACTTTGATGCAAAAGATCCCAGCTTTGTTGTTGCTGTTGTTCGTTTGCTTTTGTTTTGAATCAGAAGCTAAGCTCTTTGGGGCCAGGCTGGGCTCAGCCCTTCAGATCACAGTGAGGGGGAGGGCTGTGGGGACCGAGAGGCTGTCAGTCAGGGAAGAGGGTGGGAAGTGACTTGTCCCCTGAGGGTAAATCCCAGGTTCTCAACCCAGGCTACCTGTTAGACCACTTGAGGATTTCTTCAACAAATAAATGACCTTAAAAAGGAAGAGGAAGCCCTAGCCGGTTTGGCTCAGTGGTTAGAGTGTTGGCCTGCGGTCTGGAGAGACCCGGGTTCAGTTCCCGCTATGGGCACGTACCTCGGTTGCAGTTTGTCTCCGGCCCTGGTTGGGTCATGTGGGTGGCAGCCGCTCGATGTGACCCTTTCACATCGATGTCTCTCTCTCTTCCTCTCTCTCCTTCCTACTCGATCTGAACAAAAAATGGAAAAAATGTCCTCAGATGAGGATAAAAAAAAAAAGGAAGAGGAAGAGCCCAGCGGGTGCCTCAATGGAGGGTTCAACCTCCAGTAGGGGGCATGCAGAAGGCAGCCGATTGATGTTTCTCTCTCCCATCCATATTTCTCTCTCTCCCTTCCTCTCTCTCAAAAAATCAATAAAAATGTGTTTTTTTAAAAAGGGGAAGAGAATGAGACTTCCCACAGGTTCTGCATCTTTTTTTTTTTTCATCGTTCAGCGAACATGTGTTGAGCATCTCTTATGTTTCTGGATACTGTGGAAATAAATAGAGTAGCCACACTTCTTTTTTCTTTTAACCATCACCTGAGGATATTTTTTCCATTGATTTTTAGAGAGAGTGGAAGGGAGTTGGGGTGGGGAGAGAGAGAGAGTGAGAGATATATACATCGATGTGAGAGAGACACGTCAATTTGTTGCTTCCTAAACAGGCCCCTACCGGGGCTGGGGATTGAACCTGCAACCCAGGTACATGCCCTCGACCAGGAGTTGAAACCATGACCCTCCCGTGCTCAGGCTGATGCTCAACTGCTGGGCCACAGCAGCCAGGGCAGCCACACTTCTTGCCTCAGTGGGCAGGTAATCTAGTAGGAAAGACATTCCCATGAACAGATTGTGAGCCACTGTGGACAGGGTGGCAGGGGTATTCCTGGTGTGTGGTGGAAAAATGAAGGGGGACCAGGGAAGCTTCAAGAGTGGATCAGGAGTATCAGTAGGGAAAAGCTGATGGTGTGCAGGGAGTACTCCTGTGGGGGGAACACCATGAGTGAAGGTGAAAAGGAGAGGAGCAACTTGCTGGGTGCCAGTGGCCACAAAACCTTTGCAGCTATTGGAATGCAAAAGGCTCCAGAGGGGTTGTAGCCATGTGGCTCTTGGAGGGAAGAGCATGGGGGCAGGACACCCAACCTAGAGGTTGATTATAAGGCAGGTGTATGCCTGGTTGGTCCAGAGGCTGAGACAGGCCAGGTGAGGGTGAGGGGCACGAGAGACAATGCCAGTTCAGGAACAGGCACTGCCAATTGGATCTGAAGGGTTCCCCTTGCACTATGGGAACTTGGGAACTTTGGGTGGACAAGTAAGTGATCTGACTCAAATATTAGAAGGATCCCTTCCATGAGGGTGGAAGGCATGAGAACTTTGCATATTAATACTCTAAAAAAAAAAACAACTCTAGATAAAATGTTATAGTCGTGCTCTTTCTGATATTGCTTGGAAAGAGATAGGAAAATCCCTATTAAATTAGTTAAGTGTGTCTCCAAATTTTCTTCTTATTCAAGTAACACCCACAAGAGCAGGGTGATTTTTAATTCAGCCCAGCAGGCCACTGTTTAAGGATAAATAACACATTGAAATTCCAGGGCTGGAAAGTATGGTTCTTTATTTTTTGGGAGTCATTAATTATAACGCTGTTTGACTTTGTAACTCTAACTCTTCACCAGCTAGTGCCCAGAGTAGGTTTGTATTTTAGCAAGACTGAATTCTGGTCAACATATTGGGAGAACTGGGGGCTAGGACCATATCCCCAGGGTGTACAGGAAGTAAGGTTGAGCATCCCTGCTGTGGGGCATGACATACTTGATCTGTGTTTATAATTTGGAGACTCCGGAACCATGAAGGGAAAAGTATATACACTGGTGGTGTTTGTTTGTTGGACTTCAGGATCCTTTACTGATGTCACTCAAAGTTGTTTTTGTGTGTGTGTGTCTTCTTAGGTATGGGATCGCGGGAAGCGTGAACGTGACGGGGGATGAGGTGAAGAAACTGGACGTGTTGTCCAACTCCCTGGTGATCAACATGCTCCAGTCCTCCTACAGCACCTGCGTACTGGTCTCAGAGGAGAATAAAGAGGCGATCATCACCGCCAAGGACCAGCGGGTGCGTGCAGGAGGCGGGATGCAGTTCCGCTCGTCGCCACTACATGGTGATACTGAGTTGAGAAGTTGGTTGTCTTGCATTTGTTACTGGGGTTTTCCTCTGTTGCTTAACTTTTGCTTTCCGGAAACAATTGCATGCTTCTTTCATTGGAAGTCATATGCTGTTAGGTTAAAAAAACAAACAAAAAAAAGGACTCCGTAGCAGGGCAGTGACTCATTCAGGAAATAAATCAGAGTGATTTGCAAAATGCCTCTGGGTGGGGTTCATGGATTTTGGCTTAACATGCCCTTTGGTAACATGTGCTGACATTTTGGGGGGGACTTGAAAATTATCAAGTTCAGTAATGAGTAGAGTTTCGGGGAAGAACCTTAATATACAGCCTCTTACGTGTTCCCTCCTCATTTCTATTCACTCCCACCCACCCTACTCTTGCACACACACACACACACACACACACACACTTCCCCAAGGGGGTTATGGTTTCAGCCGAGATTTCTTTATTCCTGACACGTTGTCAGCCTCAGAAAATAAATCATAAAGATGGTGGCTGTCTTGCATTAATACAATAGTCAACTTAGTGCAGGGCATGGCTGGGACAGTCCATATTCACTCTGACTTCATGAACAGTTTACTAAAGAGAAAGGTTGCTGGTGGCCAAAAAACTCAACCATGTTCGGCTGCGATACACTGATATAGAATACATGCTGGGACTCTTGGCCCTTGATGTATACACTGGGTGTTGGGGACAAAGTGCCATTTCTTTATGATTAGCCAGTAGGACAGAAAAGGTAAAGCCAAGTTTATTAAGCACCTACTGCATGCCAGGGACTGTGCACAGCACTTGAGTCTTCTCATCTCACATAATTTAAGCTAAATCACACCTGTTCTTTTGAATGTTCAGATTCCACTGATATGACCCTCAATTCTCTCTCCAGTCTGATCTGCCATGTTCTTTCCTGGCTGACCTGAGCTACATAGGTCTTCATGCTAGTTCTTGAATATTCCATGTTCCCATATAAGTTCCTTAAACACTCTCCAACATCTGCCCACCAGATATCTGTGAATGAATACATGAGTGAATAAACGGGCTAAGTTGGATTGTCCGCAGGGAGAATGGGGAATTTCCAAGTTTATGAATCACCCCACCTTTTTGTGCCCTTCCCCCCTACCCTGCCCACCCCTGTTGAGCAAGGGAGAAATAAAGGAAATAAAGCTCAGATTCAGCAAGGGCGTCACCCACCAGAAAGTCAGGGAAAGTGATTTTAGTGATAATGGAAGTGACTCCCATTTTACTCCAAGTTTTTTAAAAGGAATATGTATTATTTTACTTTTTTATCCTCACCCGAGGACATTTTTCCATTTTTTGTTTAGATAGAGTGGGAGGGGGAGAGAGAGAGAGAAACATCGACATGAAAGGGACACATCAAGTGGCTGCCACCTGCACGACCCAACCAGGGCCGGGGACAAACTGTAACCGAGGTACATGCCCTTAGCAGGAACCGAACCCGGGTCTCTCCAGACGGCAGGCCAACGCTCTAACCACTGAGCAAAACTGGCCAGGGCTATTTTATTTTAATTTTTTAAATTTTTACTTATTGATTTGAGAGAGAGAAGAAAGGAGAGAGAGAAGGATTGAGAGAGAGAAATATTGGAGAAATACTGATTTGTTGTTTCACTTAGTGGTACATTCATTGGTTCTTGTGTGTACCTTGCCTGACTGGGAATCAAACCCACAGCATTTGTGTATCAGGACGACACTCTAGCCAACTGAGCTATCTGGTCAGGACTCAAGTGTTATTACTCTGTTTAAGTAGCCAGGAGACTCCAGTCCCCTTCTCTCGGGCTGTCATAGGGCCTTGCACAGAGGAGATCTGTAAAAAGTATCTGGTGATTTTGCCCCACGAAATGCTGTCTGGAGCTGTCTGTGACCGCAGTGTGTGTGGGCATGAGGGACATGGTATCACAGACCCCATCTGCTCTGTCCTCTGGTCTTCACATCAGGCAGGTGGGTTGGGTACAGCAGCTCCAAGTCCCTGGGGGCCCAGGTAGGAGGGGAGGGTGGAGCCAGAGGAGGCAGGAGCAGAGGGACCTTCGTCGCCCTGTGTGGCCTCCACTGACGTGTGTGGACAGGTCAGCCCTGAGCGCGCAGCTCACATATGCTGGTACACTCCACCTGCCTCAAGTCACTGCATTTTTTTTTTAATCCTCATCCGAGGATACTTTTCATTTTTTGTTCAGGTAGAGCGGGAGGGAGAGAGAGGAAGAGAGAGAGAAAGAGAGAGAGAGAGAGAGAGAGAGAGAGGAAGAGAGAAAGAAAGAGAGAGAGAGAGAGAAACATCGATGTGAAAGGGACACATCAAGTGGCTGCCACATGAATGACCCAACCAGGGCCGGGGACAAACTGCAATCGAGGTACATGCCCTCAGCAGGAACCGAACCCGGGTCTCTCTGGACCGCAGGCCGATGCTCTAACCGCTGAGCCAAACCGGCCAGGGCGGCACTGCATTTTTTAAATAAGAATATCCCTTTGCTCTCCATCGCTTTCTGGTGCTGTGTTATTTGCCCCCCATGGTCACTTATGTAGATTGTGTTGATCTGAAGTGATTCTTCTCTCTGTGCATTTAGGGGAAATACGTGGTCTGCTTTGACCCACTGGATGGATCTTCCAATATTGACTGTCTGGCCTCCATTGGAACTATATTTGCCATCTACAGAAAGGTGAGTGACAGCCTGATCTTTAAAGCCTCTTTCCCCTGGTGGGTTCCGGAAGGTTCCTGGCCTGGGAGCCACGAGTCTGGAATTCTAATCTCTGTCCTCCCACAAAGCAGACGGGCCCCCCAGGCAAACCATGAAGCCCACTCCGCCTCGGACCCCTCACTGGAGGGACAAATCAATCACCCCCCGCCCCTGCCTTCTCCACTGCATTCATGGGACGGCAAAGTAAGGGGACGGATGGGGCCTTGTTTTTAAAACCTGGATGAGGCACAAATGTCAGACATGGGATGAGGTTCCAGGGGGCATCTGTTTTTTCTTAATGTATTTCAAATCGGACTGTACTCCTCTTCTGTTGCCGCCATAACAATGCATCACACATTTAGAGCTTAAAATGACACCCACTGATGACCTCCTGGTTCGGTAGGTCCCAGGTCTGGCGGATGTGACTGGGTTCTCTGCTCAGGGTCTCCTAAGGTCAAAATCTGGGTGTCAGCCAGCCTGACTTCCTGCCGAGAGGCTGGGCTGTGTGTGTAGCAGTAGCTTCCAGGCTCATTTAGGTGGTTGGCAGAATTCAGTTCCATTCTGTCGTAGGACAGAGGTCCTTGCATCTTGGTCGATGCTGAGGATGACTTGCAGTTTCTAGAGGTTCCCTGCATTCCCCGGCTTGTGATTCCTATGTCCTTAAAGCCAGCAAAGGCAGGACAAATCTTCCTCACTCTTTTGATCTCTGACACCCCCACTTTGCCTCATTGCTCTGCCTCCAGCCACAGAAAGTTCTCTGCTTAAAAGGGTTTGCCTGATTAGGTCCAAGATGAGCTGCCTATTTAATTAGGTAACTCTAATTACACCTGCAAAGTCCCTTTGCCATGTAGTGCTGTCATGAGCGCTCTGGCTATGGGTGTAGTCTTTCCTACAAGTCATTCAAAGTTCTGACCCCTGCATAGTTTCAGGGGTGCCTGACGGAGGCCGGGACCCTAGGTGGTCACTGGGCCCTCTAGGTTCCTGACACCAAGAAACAGCCGTGAGCCAATGCAAGTGACTGTGCTGTCAACTTTAGCCTTTATTACTGCAGGTTCAGTCCAAATCACAGACACATGTGAACACACACAAGTATTGGGAGTCAACGGACTGAAAGTCCAAGCATCCTAAATGTCCTCCAGTCCAGGCTGCTCAGAGAGCAGTGGTCACTGGTCACTCAGAGTCACGGAAGCCTCTGTGTCCAGGGAGTCCATGTCTTGCAAGGAAGACTGCTGACTCAGCTCGAGACAGCAAGGCCTCGGAATCATCAACGGCCACCAAGCCAGACACACGAGCTGTCAGCACGGCTCATTACCAAGAGGGCGAGTAGCAAAGGTCACTGTTCTGGTTTCACTTTTACCCTTCGTTTGGGGGTGTCTCCCTTCATCTGCACTTGTTAGAAATGCCGGTGGTCTCTAAGATTAGTCTTCAAAGTCCGGAGTCAGGATATTTGACAGTGTCCTCGGAGGTGCCTAGTCATCCTTACTACGTTCACCTGTGGGTTTCTCCCTGGGCTGGAGCCCAGAATTTGGCTGTGGGTCCAAACCTCTATGTGCTCAGACAATAAGGTTCAAATTCAAGATGGAGTTAGTTATACCAACTCTGCACCCCACAAATGCAAAATTGCCCCCGATTCTGGAGATTAGGGTATCTTCGGGGCCATTCCATTTTCCTCACGTACCTAACAATAGACAGAATCATATGGCTTGATTGGTGACCATCAGAAACTTTATGACAAACCACATAATCCACACTCTTCCTCAGCTTTAGAATCAGTCCTTGCGCCCATCAGGATGGCTGGGCCTTTGCCCTTGTGGCTTTCGGGCAGAAGGAGACCAGTAGCATTGGAAGGTCTCAAGGCTGGGTAACTTGCCCTAGTACTGGTGTCCGAGGCCCATCTCTCTGGCTCCTACCTACCTATGCTCTGTCCACCTACCTACCTATGATCACACAAATGCAGGCAAGAGTGGGTGTGCCTTGTGCCATCTAAAGGGCTGTCTGTACAGATTGGTAATGCTTGGCTGATGACTGTCCAAAAACAGGGCAAGCATTTGATTTTCAGGGCAAAAGCTTAGCAGAAAACTAACCATAGCAGAATGTATGAATTAGCCTAAACTGTTTCTTTGAGAAGAAAAGCAAGGTACAGGCAAGTGGTCTATTCCTCCTGTCTTGGAGAACAAAGTGGAAGCCAAGCCTGCTAGAGGAGAGACAAGGAGACTTTTGTTGAGGAAGAAGAAGAGGACACAAGACACTGTCTCTGGTATCTGAGAAAGTTAAAGACTCAGATGCTATTTCAAGTCTAAGCAAAAATAAGCTAGGTGAGTAAAGGAGCTTCATTTCCCGCTTTGAGGTACAGCTTCCAGGTAAAAACAGAGATCACTGGTGTGATATTTATGAGATTCTGAAAAAAGACACCCAGTTGTATCTTTGAGGTGACTGATGTTGGTGTTTTCATCATGGCCATTGCTCTTCACGGCTGGTCATGAGGCAGCCATGGCTCTACCCACCAGCAAGCTCAGTGCTCCTGGTAACGTCACCATCACAGCTCTTAATAGCTCCCTCCCCTCGTTGTATTGAAATATAATTGACATATAACACTGTGTTAGTTTTAGGTGTACAACATAATGATCTGGTATATGCATGTATTGTGAAATGATCAACACAATAGCTTATTTAACACCTATCACCTTACATAGTTACAAATTTTTTCTTGTGATGAGACTTTTTATGACTTACTCTCAGCAACTTTCAAATATACAGTATAGCATTATTAACGATAGTTCCCATGCTGTCCATTACCTCCCCAGAACTTATTTATCTTATTACCGAAAGTTTGTACCTTTTGACCACCTTCACCCATTCCCCCCAACTTGTCCTTGGCAACCACTGCTCTGTTCTGTTTCTATGAATTTGTTTTTTATAGAGTCACATATAAGTGAGCTCATATAGTGTTTATATTTCTCTTTCTGACTTTTTTCACTCAGCACAATGCCCTCAAGATCCATTCATGTTGCTACAAATGGCAAGATTTTCTTCTTTTTTATGACTGAATACTATTCCTTATATACATACACTACATTTTCTTTATCAGTTCATCCACTGATGGACACTTAGGTTGTTTCCATATCTTGGCTTTTGTGAATAATGCTGCAATGAACATGGGGTGCAGATACATCTTTAAGATAGTGATTTCGAGACTTCCGGTCAAGATGGTGGCATAGGTAAATGCAGTATCGCCTCCTCCCACAACCACATCAAAATTACAACTAAGCTACAGAACAACCACCCTTCAGAACCGCCTGAAGTTGAGTTGAATGGAAGTCCTGCAACTATGTAATTAAAGAAGCAGCCACATGGAGACGGGTAGAAGGGGCAGAGGTGGACAGACTGATCCCACATCCACATGTGGTGGATAAAAATCAGGAGAACACCTCAGCTGGGAAGGTTCTCCCTGAGGAGTGAGGGGTCCTTCTCCCACACCAGGCGCTCAGGGTTCCAGTGCCAGGAAGAGAATCCTCAGAACTTCTGGCTGTAAAAACCAGCGGGAACTGAGGCTGAGGGAGACTGAGGATACTTGAGCCCTAGGCAGCTCCTCTTAAAGGGCTCACGCACAGACTTACTCAAACTTGCTCCATCCAGGCTCCAGGGTTGGGGAGGCAGCTTGAAAGGCACCAGAGACATACGGGGAAGAACTGAGTCGTTTGGCATCGGGACGAGAGCTAGAGAGGCAGCTATCTCTTAGACAGATGTGATGGTGGAGGCCATTGTCCCTTTGGTGAGCCCTTCCCCCACAGGGCCAGCAGATGAGGACCTTATCTGGGACTCCAGAAACCTGACACACTGTTTGCTCTGCCCTGGTGATCCACTGAGGCCTTTCCCCACCCAACTTTTGGGCCCACCCAGGCTCTTTCCAGTGGCTTTACCATAGGATTGGCCTGTATTGGCTCCTGCTTCAGATTTTCCTAAATTCTCTCAAACAAGCAGCATCTGACCTCAGAGAACCCCATACCTCTCAAGTGGCCCCAGGTCCGGCACTAGAAGCAGCCAGCTTTGGTTCACAGCCTGGCTTTGCCTGGGCACCTCTAAGCCAAGCACAAGAAGCAGCCATCGACAAATCATTTTGTAGTGCCAACTGCACTACAATTAAAACAGAAGAGTGTACAGTGCACACTAGGGGTAAGACTCAATTACAATAGAAGAGTGTACAGTCCACACTAGGGGTACACCTAGAGGGCCCAGTTGGGGTGATCAGGGAGACTGTGCCACTGGACCCTACAGGACACCTACAACAATAGGCCACCCTAGGAAGCCTAGGAGACATAGCAACTCTACCTAATACATAGAAACAAACACATGGAGGCAGCCAAAATGAGGAGACAAAGAAACATGTCCCAAATGAAAGAACAGAACAGAACTCCAGGAAAATAACTAAATGAAAGGGAGATAAACAATCTAACAGATGTAGAGTTCAAAACACCGGTTATAAGGATGCTCAAGAAACTTAGTGAAAATTTCAAGGAACTTAGTGAGGACCTCAAGAGCATAAAAAGTACTAGTCAGAAATGAAGGCTGCACTAACTGAAATAAAGGATAATTTATAGGGAACAAGTAGTAGAGTAAGTGAAGGCAAGAAGCAAACCATCAATTTGGAGTATAAAGAAGCAAAAAACACCCAATCAGAATAGCAAAGAGAACAAAGAATTAAAAAAAAAAAAATGAGGACAGTATCAGGAGCCTCTGGGACAAGTTCAAGTGTACCAACATTCACATCATGGGGGTGCCAGAAGGAGAAGAGAGAGAGCAAGAAATTAAAAACCTATTTGAAAAAATAATGACAGAAAACTTTCCTAACTTGGTGAAGGAAAAAGACATACAAGTCTAGGAAGCACAGAGAGTCCCAGACAAGATGACCCCAAAGAGACCCACACCAAGACATTATCAAAATGCAAAAGGTTAAAGACGAAGAGAGACTCTTAAAAGCAGCAAGAGAAAAGCAGTTAGTTATCTACAAAGGAGTTCCCATAAGATTGTCAGTCAATTTCTCAAAAGAAACTTTGCAGGCCAGAAGGGAGTGGCAAGAAATATTCAAAGTGATGAAAAACAAGGACCTACAACCAAGATTACTCTATCCTGCAAAGCTATAATTTAGAATCAATGGATATATAAAGAGTTTCCCAGACAAGAGAAAGCTAAAGGAGTTTATCACCACCAAACCAGTAGTATATGATTGTTGAAGGGTCTTCTTGAAGAAGAAGAAGATAAAACATATGAACAATAAAATGGCAATAAATATATATCTATCAACAGTTGAATCTGCAAACCAAATGAACAAGCAGAACAGAAACAGACTCAAAAATACAGAAAAAGCTTTTTGTTGGTCACCAGATGGGGGTGGGGTTGGGGGCATGGTCAAACAAGATGAAGGAATTAAGAAGTACAAATTGGTTGTTAAACTGAGGAACCTCAAAGAGAAGGGGGGGAAAGAGGATGAGAAGAGATAAACCAAAGAACTTCTATGCATATATACATCACCAGTGGACACAGACAATAGTGTAGGGTAGGCAGGAAGGGGGTAGGAGCGGAGAGGAAGGGGTTAATGGGGGGGGAATGAGGGGACACTTGTAATACATTCAACAATGAAGATAAGTTTTAAAAAAAAGATAGTGATTTAATTTCCTTTAGATATATACCCAGATGTAGAATTAATAGATCATTAGTTCTAGTTTTAATTTTTTGAAGAAATTTTATACTGTTTTCATAGTGACTGTACCAATTTACATTCCCATCAACAGTGCACAAGGATTTTCTTTTCTCCATATCCTTACCAACACTTTTTATCTTTTATCTAACAGGTATGAGATGATATTTCATTGTGGTTTTGATTTACATTTTCCTGATAATTGGTGATTTTGAGCATCTTTTTATATACCTGTTAGCCCTTTGTATGTCTTCTTTGGAAACTGTCTATTTAAGTCCTCTGCCTATTTTTTAATATATTGTTTGTTTTTGCTATTGAGTTATGAGTTTTTTTCTATTTTAAGAATTTTGGACATCAAGGCCATGGGAAATCAATGTAGTGTTTTAAACAGAGAACACTGGATCTGAGCTGGGCAAGAACAAAGTGGAGGAGCCAGACAAAAGGGGATGGTCACTCAGACCAAGAGGTAGTGGTGAGGACAGACAGGAGGGTATGGACCTGCGAAGAGTGGGTTGTAGAATGGACTGGATTTAGTGACTGAGTGGAGGTTGTGGCTGGTGAAAGGAAGGGAAGGGTGATTCCCAGATTTCCATTGGTCAGACGATGGTGCTATTTGTTCAGATGGGGAGCAATGAGAGAAGAGTGGAAATTTTGGGGGGTGAGACAAGGCAGATGAATTTTATCTTTGACATGCTGAGCTTGAGGCATCTGGGGAATACCTGAGGAAGGATGTCTGGCAGACGAGTGGCTCCAAGAGTTGGGCCATCAGAAGAGATGAAGGTGGAGGTCTGGGAGGCATGGACACCTGCTTGCAACTCTGGTTGTGGGTGAGTTTGCTGAGGAGTGGGTAGACTGAAGAGAGAAGAGAGCTATATTCGTCTGGACTCTGCTATAAATAGCAGGGATGAATCAGGAAGCCCCAAGACAGAAGTACGACCAGCCTCAGAAAGGGCCAGAGAAGGGTCAAGGTAGAAGAGCTTTTTTCCTCAAAGTTGCTCATCTTGTCTTCCTATGGCCACTGCATTCCTTGTTCTCTCTGTAGACCAGTTTTGTGTGATTCTTCGGCCAATGACAGAAGAAAGGTGGTCACCCCAATGCTCCCAAATTGCCATCAGCCAGAATGTTCTAGCTCCAAATACAGATTTCTGGAGCAGAGACTCTGATTGGGCCAGTTTGGGTCAGGAATCCATCCCAGACCCAATTACACTTGTAGGGAGGGTTTGGCACTCATAACACAAACATCGCAGCTGAGAGTCCTCACTTTGGATTAAGTGGTGATTAAGAAGGTGCATTTTGCACTGGATAGACACTCAAGGCCTGGGGACGAACCAGGAGGAGCATCAACATTTAAGAAGAGGAGTTGCAGAAACAAATGAGAAATATCTAGAGAGTCAGAAAGAAAGCCAGACAAGAGGGAGGTGGACAGGCGCTCTGGAGAGACTCATCTGAAGAAGAAAGCAGCAGCCAAAAGATTCAACACTACCTAGAGGTCGGGTAAGAGGTAGAAATGAAAAGTATGCACAAGATTTGGTAGATAGGGTCAGCCTATCTAGAGAAGGAAGACAGTGTAGACAGGCATCCTAGACTCTAGGACATAGGTGAAGACAGAGGCAGGGCAATAGCTGGAGGAAAACCTTGTAGTCTAGAAAGTATTTCTTGTTATTATTTTTTGAAGGCTAGGGATTCTACGAGTAATTAAAGGCCAGAGGAACCAGTCGGGGAGGAGTAATTTCCTTTAAACCACAGTGCAAGTTTCCAAGGACGAAGGAGAGAGTGTGGTGCCCAGCAGAGGCCACAGCATCACAGCTCAGAGAAAGGAAATCTCCAGTCTGGGAGAACTCTGCTTTTGTACGGAGAAAATGTGACCCTTCTGATGGCTAAGTAAAGGTGTTTCAAAAGCTTCAATGGGGACGACTGAAGATTTTAATTAAAAAACCTAATACCACCTTTGCCTTCTACTTCTCTGAAGGACCTTAAGATACGAGGTTCTAGAGCAGTTGTTCTGAAACTTCTGTTTGCATCAGTCACCTGGAGGGCAGACGCTGAAGGCCCAGCATTTCTGACCCTGGAGGTGGGCGGGGGGCACAGCCCAAGAATATGCATCTCCAGTGAGATCCCAGGATGCGGATGCTGCAGGCCCACTGAGAATCACTGCTCTGGGGTCTGCCTCTCAGAATCCGTGTGTGGCCTGGGAATCTGTAATAAAGCCAAAATTATTGAGAGTGAGCGCGTGCGCACACACACACACATCAAATGCAAATATAATTATTTGTAAAAAAAAAATGTGTTAGAAAGAATGCAAGATTGTAAAAGTAAGGAAAAATATTAAAAGGAATGTGCCGCTTTTAATTAAATTAACTTGTAGCCCTAGAAAAATATTAAGGGGAAAGTGACATTTTAAAGAAATCCTTAAAGAAGGATGAGATTTGGTTTCAAAATAAGGCTGTTAGAATGTTACCAGCAGAGGGTAAACTGGCCTCTTATCTCATTAGTTGTTGAGAGTGATGCTGGCCCAGACACCAGACACATGGGTCCAAGCCCAGCTTTATTACTCACTGGTTGGAAGATGTTATGTGAGTACCTTTCTGACCTCCATCCCTTCTTTCTAATGAGGTTATAGAGCCTCTCCATTGTTTCACAAAAACATAACGTGAAAATGTTTTGAAAGATACAGAGTCCCACATCAATGCAAATTTTCATTTTACCCTAAAAGGTATGCTTCAGGAGAGCTAAGAAGCCCACACCGGAGGCAATAATGTACTGTGTTCCTCTCCTCTCTTCCTCAGACCTCAGGGGACGAGCCTTCTGAAAAGGATGCCCTGCAGCCAGGCCGCAATATTGTGGCTGCGGGCTATGCCCTCTATGGCAGTGCGACCCTGGTGGCTCTTTCCACTGGGCAAGGTGTGGACCTCTTCATGCTCGACCCAGTAAGTACCCAGTACGGCATTATCAGCACCTGGGACTCCATGGGGCTCTGTCATTCAATTCTAGTCCTCTGGGATAATTTCCTGTTTATTCTTAAAAAAATCTGTTTTTAAAATTTATTTATTTATTTATTGGAGAGAGGAAAGGAGAGAGAGAGAGTGTGTGTGTGATTTGTTATCCCACTTATTTATGCATTCATTGGTATGTGCCCCAGCTGGGGATTGAATTCACAACCTTGGCATATTGGGATGATGCTCTAACCAACAGAGCCACCTCGTCAGGGCCCTGGTCATTCTTAATACTTGCTTCTGGGGACAGAGAGTCTAGTTTGAGGAGCCAACAGCATCATCAAAAAATATTAAGGACCTTTGTCCAAGTGATGGAATTTGAGGGGTTCTGTAGATTCAGTGCTATCAACTCAGGCCCTGCCCTTGAAGAGATTATTCCTCACCCAGGTTGGTTTGGCTCAGTGGCTAGAGTAATGGCCTGCACACTGGAGGGTTGAGGGTTCAATTCCTGGTCAAGGGCATGTACCTGGGCTGCAGGTTTGATCCCTGGCCCTGATCAGGGCTCACGCAGGAGGCAATCAATTGATGTGTCTCTCTCACATCAATGTTTCTCTCTCTCTCTCCCACCCTCCCCACTTCCCTTCCACTCTCTCTAGAAAAAAAAAAATCAATGGAAAAAATACCTTCGGGTGAGGTTAACGAAACAAAACTAACAAAAAAAGAGTTTATTCCTCTTTGTTTATGGGAACGCGATGATTTATGAATCTCCGTGCTGCAGGTTTCCAGACAGAAACGTGGATTCTTTAGAGCGGCACCATCCAGTCGAAACTTCTGTGGCGATGGACATGTCCTGTGGCCTGTGCCTTCCTAACTGAGCACCTGCCATGAGGCTCGTGTGACTGAGGAGCCGGGGCTTTTCATTTTGCTTCATTTTAGTTAACTTACACAGCCACAGGTGGCTAGTGGCTGCCCTACTGGCCAGCACGGGTCTGGGGGCCTTCCCGACTCCATGTTCTTCCCAAGAGGAGAGGCTAGTGGAAAGCTGCTCCATCAGGTCCTGTGTAATGCTCCACATTTCTCACAACGTGAGCATGCTGGGCAACAGAGGGGAAGGAGCACAGCCTTGGGGTGGATGGAAAATCTCATAGCCTGATGCTCATTAAATGAAGAGATAATTAGATAAAGACGCAAGAGTTAAAAAAAATAAGGCTGAGCTTTCATGGAAAGTGTACATTAAAAATGTTCTTATAGCCCGGCCAGTGTGGCTCAGTAGTTGAGCATCAACCCATGCACCAAGAGGTTACTGGTTCAATTACTGGTCAGGGTACATGCCCAGGTTGTGGGCCCGATCCCCAGAAGGGGACAGGCAGGAGGCAGCCAACTGATGTTCTCTCTCAACAATGTTTCTATCTCTCTCTCCCTCTCCCTTCCTCTTTCTCTAAAATCAATAAAGAAAAAAAATTTTTTAATGTTCTTATATGCATATACACACTGCCCGTGGACCAGACAACGGTGGTGAAGGCCTGGGGCAGGGCAGGAACCTGGTGGAGGGGAGCAATTGGGAATAAAAGGGGAAGACATCTGTACTACTCTCAACAACAAAGATAAAAACATATATGTAACTGAAAAATTTTGGAATCCATTAAATAGTACTGTTTTCAGGCTATAGAATATGATTTTGATTAAAAAATGTTCAGCAGAAATTTTGGAAAATATTCATAACTTATAGAATTTCTCTTTAAAATGCTGGATACTTTGCCTATCACTTGTGAACGAACTGCTTCACCCAATATAGTCAGGTCTGGTGAAAATTCAAAGAATTCTGACTGAGGTCATTTCAGTTTCCAGTATTCAGTGTGATCAAGCAGACAGTGCAGCCCATGTCGCTGCATGTGTGTGGAAGAAAGTGAGGTACAGCATTTCAGAACTGAGTTAAAACAAACTTTATAGTAGGGAAACTCTGTATCTTTTCATATATGGTGTCTGATAATGAGGTACCTTCTCCTCAAAGCTGTGGGAAGCTTTCCAATAACCAGTGGTTGTCAGTGATCACAGAGTCAAAACAAAGGAATCTATTTTCCAGGTTAGGGTGAGGGTCCACACTATCTCATCCCGAATGAGAGAACAGCTCTCTAGGGGCCTGAGGGTCCCCATCCCCAAGTCCAGGGATGGATAAACAAGTGACTGACACTAGTTAGACAACAGTTGTGTATATGGCTCGCTCTTTGCTGATAAGTAAGAGAGAAAGGGATTCTGGCGCAATGAAGTAGAGGATGCTAATGCATTCGTGGGGAAGCTGAAGACCCAGGTTAGCAATGGGCAGGCCTAGCGGACCAGGAAATAGGAGTCACAGGGATGATCTGGCAGCACAGCAGGTTGGTTTGGACACCACCCCTGATTCTGTCTCTCATTCAGTGCCAGGGAAGAGTATCTAATTTGCCACACTAAGTCAAGTGCCTGACCTCGGGCTAGAGGAGGTCCAGCTTAGAGTACCCCTAGACCGGCATCCGGTGAGTAGAGTTAATTCCCCAAAAGAAGTTAGGGTGCTTTTAGGAAGTAGACTTCCATGCTAGGCTGCTCCAAAGCAAGGAGTGTCCACAGCAGGATATTAAAGCTCATGAACCCGAGACCATCGTGAACATACCTATAATAAAAATAAGTTAGCCCTGGCCAGTTTTGCTCAGTGGTTAGAGCGTCGGCCTGCGGACCAGAGAGTTCCGGGTTCGATTCCCACTAAGGGCACGTACCTTGGTTGCGGTTTGTCCCCAGCCCTGGTTGGGGTCGTGTGGGTGGCAGCCACTCGGTGAGTCTCTCTCACATCGATGTTTCTCTCTCTCTCTCCTCCCCCCTCTCTCCCTCCCACTCTATCTAAAGATAAATGCAAAAATGTCCTCAGGTGAGGATAAAAAAAATGTTAGGTTTACTGAGCAATAGAGAACACACTGAAGAGGAACTGTGGGTGGCTGTGCCAAGAGGGAGTTGGGACAGGCTTATTATAGCAATTATTTTGCTTAATGATTCTAAGGAGGATTTGAGAAAGTATTAGTTCTATATTAGGTGTTGTCTAGAAGTGGGTACAATTAGTAATTATATATCTCAATAATTTTTATCTAGGAGGTGGGAAGATTAAAGTGAGGGTAGGGATTCACTGGTAAAGAAGCAGTCATCGCCCTGGCCAGTTTGGCTCAGCAGTTAGAGCGTCGGCCTTCGGAGCAAGGAATTATGGGTTCAATTCCAGTCAAGGGCAAGTACCTCGGTTATGATTCAGCCCCCACCCTGGTTGGGGTCGTGTGGAAGGTGTCCACTTGATGTATCCCTTTCATGTCCATGTTTCTCCCTCTCTCTCTCTCTCTCTCTCTCTCTCTCCCTTCCTCCCTCCCACTCTATCTGAACAAAACTTGATTAAAAAAAAAAAAAAGGAAGCAGTCATTACTCACATCCCACAGTAGCTAAGTATCCTTGTCATTGTCTTATTTCATACATGATCAGCATGACCTCGTCTCTTTATATTCTGGGAATGTCATCTACATTCATTAGGAACCTGTTAGTCTAGCTGCCAGCTGTGAGCTGTCATCTTGTGGTTTATCAAAACTAATTAGATCTCCAGGCTCTGATTTCCCTGCTAGTGACTGAGGGACACATTCAGCCTTTCAAGGTGAAATATGCAACTAGCTAATCACATCCACAGGGACTGATGTCACCATCACTCAGATACAGGATACCTGAGGGTATTCTACAGATCCACAGTGGCCACGGGGCACTGGACAGTGTTATTAATAATCCTCAAGATTTCTTTTATTTTTATCAACTATTCCTTATGCCAAGTACATAGTTTCTGAATGAAAAGACTTCCCCTTACCCCATTTAAGAGTCACTGGGATGCCAGGAACTTTGAATGGTTTCCAACATTGAATTATTAAGATAAAATAACCAGACCACAAATTAGTGGTTGAACTGCATTCCCCACCTTTATGACAAATCTCATTTATGTAACTTTTTCCTTTCATTGTTAATGACCCAAGTCTTCCTGAAAACATTAGGAATTAATTGAAGATGATAGCTTGGGGAATAAATACAACTAGGTTCTGTATAAATGAGTAGTCTAGCTGGCAGTGAAGGTTACAAAGAAAACTTTCCTTCTTCTTCTTGAATTATTTTATCTCCTGTTACATTACTGCTTACGCTTCCTGTGCAGGCTCAATGTTGTTACTGTTCTTTATACAACTCATAAAAAATATTACTGGGCAGGCTGCAGAAGGATTTGGCAACCCCCTGGGTCTTTCCAGGAGGCCCTCATCTTCTGACATTCTGTGATTGTCGGGGAGCGGGCTGTTGGCTTCTGTTTCCTGGTATCGCTCTTCTTACTGGCATTTTTCTTCAACTTTCTAGGCTCTTGGTGAATTTGTTCTGGTGGAAAAAGAGGTAAAAATTAAAAAGAAAGGAAAGATTTACAGCCTCAATGAGGGCTACGCCAAGTATTTTGATGCTGCCACCACGGAATACGTGCAGAAAAAGAAATTTCCCGAGGTGAGTGAAGAGGGCCTAGGACAAAATGCTGTCTCAGTGGGTTCCTGTTTCAATGGTGGCTCTGAGGGTCTGGCTGAAAGAGGTTGATGCCACTGTTCACGGCTCTGATCAGTACGAGAGTGTTTGACTTTGCCTTCATAAACAATCAATACCTTTTATAGCTAAAGTTTCCCTACTAAAGATAACACTCCCTAGTTGAAGTTTTCCAGGAAACATTGTTTATAATGAACCCATCTTTTAAAAACTCAGAGGTTCAGGCCAGAACCTCTCTCCAGTCATTTGTTATCTGGGCTGCTACCCATATAGTGTCAGTCACTCAGTTGTGTTTGCTTTGAGATAGAATAATGTATTTGAAAGTCCCATTCATGTGCTCTAATGTTGAGGACTAGTGTTTACCCCAAGTTTTAGGTAGCTCTTTCACTCTTAAGGTGATCACCAAGTTCTGGGTTTTGCATAGCTGTCAACACAGCCCAAACAGTTCATTGAGCATGTCCACCGTCCAGAGAGAGCTTTTAAGGCAGGAGTGGGAACATAGTCAAAGCACATCCAGGGCCTAAATTGGGAATAGAACAAAAACCTGTCTACAAGGGTGACCCTTTCCTACTAAATTCTGGGGAATGTGGTAAGAGAGGCCTATTTTCACACAGTGGAAAAGCATTGGTGTGGGAAGCCGACCTGGTAGACCCTGGAAGCTCCTCATAGAATTCCACGGACCAGGTGGCACGCAGTCAACAGGAAGCTGGGACCTGACTTGGCTGCCTGAAAAGTGACGTTTTGGAGAGTTTACATCTCTTTTCTTTTGTCTGTTTCTTAAGTGAAATTCTCAGAAGTGCAGTTTCCAGAACCTCTCCTTTGTGAGGTAGCATTTTGCCGTAGTGCACAAACCCACCAGGTATCTTGAGGGTGAAAGGAACAGCATATGAATTGTGAGGTTAATAAACAGAATTGTTTACCAGTTCCCAGTCTTAGAGATGGCTTCATAGTGATTCCAATTCTAAGCTAAAAAGTGCCTTCTTTAGACAACTGTTGTGTATATATGTCTCACTCTTTACTGATAAACAAGAGAGAAAAGGATTCTGGCTCAATTAAGTAAAGGATGCTACTGCATTCATGGGAAAGCTGAAGACCCAGGCTAGATGTTTATTTTGTCACTAAAAAAACCACAAAAAACTCCAGTGCATCAAAACATCATACATCTTTTTGAAGGAAAAGTTGCAAATTGAGAAAAAAGTAATCCCCACACATATGACCAACAGGTGAATAGTCTGAGTGCACGCGGACCCTTATAAATCATAACCCAAGGATAAGCAGGCCCCAAATAGAAAACCATGCAAGTCACAGAAGACTCATAAATGTTCAGTTATCAAATGGGAAGGTGTTAAATATGCAAATTTAAACTCAATATAATTTTTACATGACATGGGCAAAGACTTAAAAAGATGAATAGTGTTCAGTGATATGGGGAAAAGAGCACTCTCATAAATTGTTAATGAAAACAAATATTACAACCTCTCTGGGCAATCAGGCAATCTGGCAGTATGACTTTTTATTGATTGATTTGAGAGAGAAAGAGAAAGGCAGGGGGGGAGAGAGAGAGAGAGAGAGAGAGAGAGAGAGAGAGAGAAACATCGATTTGCTGTCCCACTTATTTATGCATTCATTGGTTGATTCTTGTATGTGTCCTGACTGGGGATCGAACCCAGAACCTTGGTGTATCTGGATGATGCTCTAACCAACTGAGCTACCCAGTCAGGTGGTAATATTATTTTAAATATTAATTATCCATACCTTTTGACTCAGCAGTTTATCCTAAATTCCCCTAGGAGTTTATCCTAAGAAACTAATAGGTCCAATGAAAAGAGATAAATGCACAAAGGTGTCTCATTGCAGCACTATTTATAACAACCACAAAAGGAATAACTGAAGTATCCATTCATCAGGATGGGTTAACATATTATGGGCATCCACAATATACTAGTGAATATTGTGCTACACGTCTATTCATCAATTAGAAAGGTAAGTCATTCTTTACATATTGATATTGAAATATGTCCATATTCAGTGAAAGAAATGAGGTATAAAACTAAATATAATTTCCTGTAAATGAGTATATATATATATATATATATATATATATATATTCATGCACACAAATATATGTATCATGTATACATGCATAAAATGTCAAAGAATGTGTCATTTTGTTAATAGTGGTTTCTGGAAGTTGAGTGTATAGGATCCTTCATTTTCTCTGTATTGTGTGAATATGTGCAATGATCATGTGTAACTGAATAGCAATTCTCTTTATAGAAATTATTATAAAACCATGTCATTTGAAGAGGCCAAAAACTATGTGACCCAAAAAAAGTTAAGGAAACAAATTTATCAGGTAGTTAATATTTTTTGGAATTTTATGATGTATAATATAATATAATATAATATAATATAATATAATATAATATAATATAAATAACATAATATATAATATAGCTTTAAAATTTTGTTTGTAATATGTTGTGATTTCTTTTTTCTATTTTAAAATAAATACTTTTTTATTAAAATAATAGAAAAGAAAATAAATCATTCCATTTTGAAAAAGAAGTCTCCTTTCTCTCCTAGAGCTTTGCCTTCCGGAAGCTGGCTCCGGTGTCAGTGGGCAGTGCTCCGCCCCTCCTGATTGCTCCCCAGGCTGTTGCTTCCCTGCAGACCTGTGTGTTCTGGCTGCCTTTTGCCCACACCCCACACCCCACTGTGGAGAGAGCATCCTCCTTTGCCATCTCTGCCCCCTGACAATAGCAGCTTCTCCTGACTCGGACTGCACTCTTCTCCTTCACATTGATAATAGTAACTGGTGTGTATGGTGGCAGGTGCTGTTCCAAGTGAACGGTTGAGTAACTTGTCTAAGGTGACCCTATGAAAGCTGATAGAATGAGGATTAAAATGTAGACCACCTGGATCCAGAGCCCATGGATGCTGTGCAATCCATTAGTGGGGATAAAATTGTGTAGGGAGTTGTGACCAGCATTCATTTTTAGCTGAAATTAGAACAGAACAGAGCAGAATGAAACAGAGTGGAATGTCTAGAATATAATGGAATAGAAATTAATCAATAAAATAATTATTTTTGCAAAACACTTGTTTTATTTCAGCCATGTGTGTGTATTTGAATGCATGATGTATTTTGTCATGAAGTATATTTCTTTTTTAAAAGTTTGAAATTTTTGCTGTGTTGTGTGACCTCTTCATGACTTTCACCAAGTCTGTGACATGTGACTTAGTATCTCCACTCTGACTTCTGCCAACATCTGGAGTGATTTCAGAGTCTACGGGTCTATCCAGTAGCTATTTCTTTTTTTAAACTAATATTTTTATTTTTAAACTTATTTACTTATCTCTATTGTTGAATGTATTACAGATATCCCCCCTTTTCCCCCTATCAACCCCCTCCTCTCCTCTCCTGCCCCCCTTCTGCTTTCCCACACTATTGTTGGTGTCCATTGGTTATGCATATATGCATAGAAGTTCTTTGGTTTATCTCTTCCTGCCCCCCACCTCCTTCCCTTTGAGGTTCCTCAGTCTAACAACCAATTTGTATTCTTTTTTTTTTTGTTGTTATTGTCTTTTTTTTTTTAATCCTCACCCAAGGACATTTTTGCATTTTTTGTTCAGATAGAGCAGGAGGGAGAGAGAGAGAGAGAGAGAAAAACATCGACGTGAAAGGTGCGCATTGAGTGGCTGCCACCCGCACAACTTAACCAGGGCTGAGGACAAACTGCAACCGAGGTACGTGCCCTTAGCGGGAACCGAACCCAGGTCTCTCTGGACTGCAGGCCGACGCTCTAACTGCAGGGCCAATTTGTACTTCTTAATCCCTTCTCCTTGTTCTCCCACGCCGCCAATCCCCTCTCATCTGGCAACCAACAGAAAGTTCTCTGTATCTATGAGTCTGTTTCTGTCTGTGCTCATTTTGTTTGTAGAGTCAATTGTTGATAGATATGTATTTATTGTACATATTTTTGTTCTTCTTCAAGAAGACCCACCAATTCCAGATATATTCATCTCCATTTCAATTCATCTAGCTGGTTCAATAGCTACATCCTAGGGCTTATCGGTTCTTAGGAATTGCTAAATTATGAAACGATAAACTCTCATGTTTATTCTTCAAACAGCCCCCTAGCCTTTGTACTTCTTACCCTGTCTTCGCCCATCTGGGCTGCTGTAATGGAATGCCGTCGACTAGGCAGGTAATAAACAGCAGAAATGTATTTCTCACCGTCTGGAGGCTAGAAGTTCACGATCAAGGTGCTGGCAGATGTGTTTGGTGAGAGCTCTCTTCCTGGTCCATGGATGGCCATCCTCACACTGCATCCTCACACGGTGGAAGGGGCGAGGGAGCTCTCTGCCGTTTCTTCTAGAAGGCACTGATACGATTCATGAGGGCTCCACCCTCATGACCTAATCACCTCCCAAAGGCCCACCCCCTATCACCATAGCAGTGGGGTTAGGATTTCAACGTGTTCCCAGCCCTGATCTGGAGTTCATCATGTCCCTTGATTCTTCCTCTTTGTCACTCTGTATGGTCAGTGTCCTCTTGTCCCTGTCCTTTGTTCCTCGTTTGACCTCACTGACACCCCAACAGCCTGTGTCCTGTGTCACCTGAGTTAACTACTCCTTCTCCTATACTTAGCAGCCAAGTTCCCTTGAAAACATAGTTTTTATACACTGTTCCTACTTCTTCCTTTTGAAAAATATTTTAAAACTATATTGGTTTATTTTTAGTTATAAAAAGACAATTACATGAATTGTAGAATTGTAGACCTGAAATCTACATACTTTTATTAACCAATGTCACGCCAATAAATTCAATTAAAAAGTAAATAAAAATAACCCCCCTCCAAAAAAAGACAATGCAGAATACTCTGCATTTTAACACCTTTTGAAAGATGAGAAGTAGGTTGTCATTTAATCTGTGCTGACAGCACGACAGCACAACAGCCACACAAGGCTGCTGGGCACTCGAGTGAGGACTGGTCTGATCTGAGAGGAGCTGGAAGACACATTGGATTTGGAGAGCTTCGTGGAAGAAAGGAGTGTAAAATAACTCTCGAAAAGTCTTTTCTGTGGATTACACATTGAAATGATAACATTCTGATATATTATTTAAATTGAAAAATAATTTCTACAGCTGTGTAAACGTTGGCCCATGGAAACATCGCTTGGAGTGAGTGCAGACGCTGTCACTGTTCAAGGGGTCTGGCTCTCAGGAGCTCGGAAGCCCTCTGGAGTGTGGGCCGCATGGTTTCAAGGAGCCTCCAGGCAATTGTTTGAATTGTAGGGATGATGGCTTCTCTCTTCTTCCCTTCCAGGTCCTTTGACTGGTCTGATAATTGAATTGACATAGGTTAATAGGAGCAAATTTTGTACTTATGGGAGCCTCCTTAAAAATATGAGACTCGCCCTGGCTGGTTTGGCTCAGCGGTTAGAGCATCGGCCTGCGGTCCAGAGAGACCAGGGTTCGGTTCCTGCTAAGGGCACGTGCCTCGGTTGCAGTTTGTCTCCGGCCCTGGTTGGGTCGTGAGTGCGGGAGGCAACCACTCGATGTGTCCCTTTCACGTCAGTGTTTCTCCTCTCTTCCTCTCTCTCCCTCCCACTCTATCTGAACAAAAAATGGAAAAATGTACTCAGGTGAGGATAAAAAAAAAAAGTGAGACTTACAGAAGTGACCAAAGCAGGCAGCTTTTAAAATTTTTAGACAAAGACAAATAAATGTGTGAAGAATTGACAGGACAAAGAGGTGAGGTGTAGGGGGAGTAAACCAGAGGAAGTAACAGGTTTGTTGAGCAGCCTGCTCAGCCCTAAATTCCCTCTCTCTGGTGACAAGGGTGTCTCTGCCTCCTGGGACAGGGAGGGCACCTTCCACAGGGGAGATTTATTTCCCGCTTTTGCTTTTGGGAGAATAAAGGAGGGTCAGAGGGCCCTTCTTGCACTGGCTATTTCCGAGTAATTTTAATTTGAAATAATCAATATGCCCAAGTGACATACTTTGGAGGGGCATATTCTGCTGTTCTTCAGTATATACTTACTTTTTTTTTTTTTTTTATTCCTCACCCGAGGACATGTTTACATTTATAGAGCAGGAGGGAGACAGGGGGGAAGAGAGAGAGAGAAACATCGATGTGAGAGAGACACATCGACTGGTTGCCATCCACATGACCCCAACCGGGGAGCGGACAAACCGCAACCAAGGTACGTGTCCTTGACTGAAATCAAACCCGAGACTCTTTGGTCTGAGGGCCAACACTCTGATGGCTGAGCCAAACCAGTCAGGGCTATACTTGCTTTTTTTTTTTTTTCATACTCACCTGAGGACATTTTTTCCATTTTTTGTTGAGATGAAGTAAGAGGGAGAGAGAGGAAGAAAGAGAGAGAAACATCGACGTTAAAGGGACACATCGAGTGGCTGCCACCTGCACGACCCTACCAGGGCTGGGGACAAACTGCAACGGAGGTACATGCCCTTAGTGGGAACCGAACCCAGGTCTCTCTGGACTGCAGGCCAATGCTCTAACCACTGAGCCAAACCGGCCAGGGCTATACTTGCTTTTTTGATAGCTGCTCTCTTAAGATTGTTTCAGGACATAGTGTCTTACTTTAAGTAATCCTACATTGAATGGCTTCAATCACTGGTTGAGGTAGGGGGTGGTCCTAATGAATGAAATGATTAATTATGTAATGTTTTTTGACTCCTAAGCTCCTAGGTGGAGGATGAAGGACCTGGAATGCAGAGGCCACACCAATTGGATGTGTGACTCTGAGCCGGTGCTGGCTGATTGCAGAACTCACTGCATCTGTCTCTTCTCTCTCTGCTTTCTAGGATGGCAGTGCTCCCTATGGGGCTAGGTACGTGGGCTCCATGGTGGCTGATGTGCACCGAACCCTAGTCTATGGAGGGATTTTCCTATACCCAGCAAACCAGAAGAATCCTAAGGGCAAGGTAATTCTCCTTTGTCCACTGGCTATATCCAGTCAGGGAGCCGGGTGGAGCTCCCTTTCTCTTCACACAGCCTTTTGGCCACTGCCTTGTCCTTGGCATGTCTGTCTGTGAGTGGGCAGGAAGAAGAGAAATGAGATATGTTTCCCATTAGTGAATCTGAGGCTGCTGGAGGAGAAGACTGAAGCTATGATTGGTGATTTTTCTGGCCTTCTGTTCTTTGTCCTCATGCCCATCATGCACCAGGAGTCAGCTGTGTTTCCTCCCATTTTTCACATGCTCTGTCTGAACTTTAATTTCAGTACCAACTCACTGTGGATCACAGACCCCTTTGAGAATCTAATGAAACTTATGGACCCACTTCCTAGAAAGAAATGCATGTAAACATACACATTTCATGCATGTTCAGGAGATTCACAGATGACCTGAAGTCCATCCATAATCTCCCCAAAAGTTCACAAACTCAAGAATAAGAACCTCTGCTCTGAATCCATTCAGTATTTCTGGAAAGGAAGCTCCTGGAAGATCTTAAGCAATTTTATGACGCAAAACTGAAAATACTGGTATTATCAATTAGGAATCTTATGATCCAAATGCATCCATCTTGAAAAAACTCTTCCATGGAAAGCATCTGATGTTTAGCAGTCACAGAAATCATAGCTAAGTAGGCAAGTCAAAAACAAAGAACTGGTGTATTCTCTCACACACCAACTAACCATATATATATATATATATATACACACACACACACACACACACACACACACGTTGGGGTGGGTGATTTGAGTTATTGGAATGGCAGGTTCAAAGCCATGATCAGAAATCTAACAGCACATGAGACCAGAGCAGAGATTTTTAGTATGCAGATGGGTGTATCAGGCATTTCTCTCTCTCTATTTTTTTTGTTTGTTTGTTTTGTTCAGATAGAGTGGGAGGAAGAGAGAGAGAGAGAGAGAGAGAAACATTGACGCGAAAGGGACACATCGAGTGGCCGCCACCCGCACAACCCAACCAGGGCCGGGGACAAACCGCACCCGAGGCACGTGCCCTCAGCAGGAACCGAACCTGGGTCTCTCTGGACAGCAGGCCGACGCTCTACTGCTGAGCCAAACCGGCCAGGGCTCTCTCTTTTTTTTTTTATCCTCACCCAAGGGCATTTTTCCTTTTTTTTTGTTCAGATAGAGTGAGAGGGAGAGAGAGGGGGAGAGAGAGAGAGAAAGAAACATTGACGTTAAAGGGACACATCAAGTGGCTGCCACCTGCACGACCAACCAGGAGCGGGGACAAACTGCAACCGAGGTACGCGCCCTTAGCGGGAACTGAACCCTGGTCTCTCTGGATTGCAGGCTGATGCTCTAACTGCTGAGCCAAACTGGCCAGGGCTCAGGCATTTCTCTTCATGTGAGTGTTCAGCTCACGTATATGAACCTGTTGTATTAGGAAAAGTCTGTGTTGGAGTAAAGAATTGTTATGAAGTATTAATGAAATCAAGCAAAAGATGAGAAAACTCTAAATGGAACCATTCTTGCCACCTACTCAGTTCCAACAGAGAGAACATTAAGACTAATTATTACTAATTATTCAAATGATTTAAAATTAGTTTAAAAATACCTACATATAATTATATAAACATTTCCATAGGAGGTATAAGTCCATGTATAGACCATGTATATTCACAGCACTGTACCAATTAGTTCCTGACCTCCACGTTTTAGCTCTCATGGTCTCTGTGACCGTGTGTGTGTGTGTGTGTGTGTGTGTGTGTGTGTACTTACTCTGTAGAGCCATGTATATTTTAACTGCAGAAAAAAAACATCGCATGGCCCACAGGCCTAGGCACCATGAAGACCTGGGCATTGTGTTTTCCCATGAGTTTACTACAACAATGGGATCTTAAGGTCAGAACAAACCTTGGCTCCAGAACGAGCTTAAAGTGAGAATACTGTGCTATTTAATGTTTGTTTTTGAAGTATCTGAATCAACATGGTACAAACAAAGGAGAGTGGTTACAACTTGAGGCTTTGTTATCGGACACCATAAACCTCGTACCCCCAGGGCCAGGGAAAGAGGAGGAAAGAGCCTAGCTCTACAAGTTGCCAGGTCAGAGTCTCCCTGGTGGTCTGTCCAGGACAGCGTGGCCTCCAGTGTCCCTCCTGTGGATGATAAGGGACAAAACTAGGTGATTTAGGTGTGTCCATGTGCACCGGGGCTCCTCTGTGCCCCACCAGGCTGATGGCAAGTAATTGCCCCAGAGTCTTAATTACTTCCTCCTGAGTGCCTGGCTCTCCAACCCAGACCACAGATATTTTATTCCTCTCCATGCAATAACACAAATTTAAAAGTTGGCACCAGATATGGCTGTTTCTTTGAGTAGGTTCAACATGTCTTCAAAATGGATTTAAAGAAAAGAAAAGAAAAGAAAAGAAAAGAAAAGAAAAGAAAAGGCTGCATAGAGCTGGGTCAACACTTGCTAAGCTGATTATAGAAAAGGAAATTTGAAAAAAAAATGCAGATTTTGCATGTATGGGGGAAGGAAAGAGAAGATAGAATTATATTAAGTCAGAGAATACAGCTAGAATGTCACCTTGAATCTAATGTGGTTCAGTTGGTGTGTGTGTGTGTGTGTGTGTGTGTGTGGTTGGGAGGGCAGTCTGGGGAGGGAGTCACTACAGAAATACACCCCAAAAGGACATTCATTCCAGCCCATTTCAGTTCAATGCACCATGTACCCACCGACACGGGGAGTCACAGGCTAGCTCTCATCGTGCCTTTTACAGAAGGTATTCCTTGTTCAGAGCAGGCTCGGCCCTGGGTCCTTGGGCTCAGCTGGGCAAGCAGGGCATGGGCTGTTTTACCCCCTTTCTACCCTCCACTGGGAGCCCTTGGGCAAGGTATGTGGTCGCCTTGTTTGGACGCTCTTTTTGTGTCGGGCAGTACTGGGACTGGAGATGCCACAGTGACCAAGATAGCTGCTGTCCCTGCCTTCAGGAAGGGTGACTCAGGAGGAAGGCAGATGTCAAGCCAACCTCACTGCCATGGCTGCTATGAAGGGGAAGTGCAGGCTACTGTGGACAAGCAACGGGAGTTAACTTAGTCTAAGGGCAAAAGAGGCTATTTATTTATTTATATTAATCCTCACCGGAGGATATTTTTCCATTTGTCTTCAGATAGAATGAGAGGGAGGGAGAGAGAGGGAGAGAAACATCAATGTGAGAGAGACCACCGGTTGGTTGCCTCCAGCACCACCAGGACCAGGGCCAGGACCCAACCGCAACCGGAATCAAACCTGTAACTTTGGTCTGTGGGCCGATGCTCTAACTGCTGAGCCAAACCAGCCCCAGCACAAGAAAGGCAATTTAAATGTCATCAAACGATTTTGCCAAGTGGCACTTGAGGTGTGGAGTTCCTTGCCATTACCCGGACCCTGTGGACATCCTGAGGGACCACCCAGCCCTCGGAGCTGACCTTCCAATCCCACCCAAGCTTGACTCCTCACACAGCACCTCCTAAGCAGGCCTGTAGGTCCCGTTTTTCTGTTACAAAACCATCGGGAAAGGGTACCAAGACCTCACGCGCTAGTGAAGAGGCAGGTCTCTCATAAAGGTCACAAGGCAGGTAGCGGCGGACCAGAGGTGCCTGCAGAGGCAGATGCGTGCTCGCCAGCAGATGACCCAGCCTTGCAGAGGGGCTCGATCTCGGGCAGGCCCCTCTGCGGAGGGGCACGAGCCCACTTGCACTGAGGGGACCGAGGTTCACAGTAGGAATTCCCCGTGGAGATCCAGGGGCAGGGCTTGAGATTTTTGGCAACTTGCAAAGCTTGTCTGTCTGACTTCCCCTGCAGCTCCGGCTCCTGTATGAGTGCAATCCTGTGGCCTACATCATCGAGCAGGCGGGAGGCTTGGCGACCACAGGCACCCAGCCCGTGCTGGACGTGAAGCCTGAGGCCATTCACCAGCGAGTCCCCCTCATTCTGGGGTCCCCGGATGATGTGCAGGAATATCTCACCTGTGTACAGAAAAACCAGGCAGGCAGGTAGTGGGTTTGACCCTGCCAGCCCTCTTCTTTTTTTGTCTTTACCTTGTATTAAGGACCCTAAATGACTGGTAAGCAGAAACAAAAGGCCAGGCCACCCACTCACAAGCAGGAGCAGCGCCAAACTGCTCGCCACCGGTTAGAGGCCAGAGGCGACGCTGTGGTCAGTGTACATGGCTAAAAATAAAAATCCACGCGTGAAAAGAAGAACTTTGGTTTGTCTTTTGTCATAACAGTGGCAAAAGGGCTGTAAGTCTGTCAGTTCAAGTAATCGTGGCTATCTAGTTGGGGCAAAAGTACAGAGGTCAGCTCTGGCCAGTTTGGCTCAGTGGTTAGAGCGTCGGCCTGCGGTCCGGAGAGACCCGGGTTCGGTTCCAGCTAAGGGCACGTACTTCGGTTGCAATTTGTCGCCGGCCCTGGTTGGTCGTGCGGGTGGCAGCCACTCGATGTGTCCCTTCACGTCGATGTTTCTCTCTCTCTCTCCCTTCCTCTCTCTCCCTCCCACTCTATCTGTACAAAAAATGGAAAAATATCCTCGAGTGAGGATAAAAAAAAAAAAAAAAAGTACAGAGGTCAGTCACAAATTTGTCTCCACTTAAAATCCAAACCTAGGCCCTGGCCAGTTTTGCTCAGTGGTTAGAGCCTCGGCCTATGGTCCAGAGAGACCCGGGTTCGGTTCCCACTAAGAGCACATACCTCGGTTGCAGTTTGTCACCAGCCCTGGTTGGGTCATGCAGGTGGCAGGCACTCGATGTGTCCCTTTCATGTTGATATTTCTCTCTCTCTCTCTCTTCCTCTCTCTCCCTCCTGCTCTATCTGAACAAAAAAAATGGAAAAATGTCCTCAGGTAAGGATTAAAAACAAAACAAAATCCAAATCTAGTGTCTTATCCTGTAGTGATTCATTTTCTTTCTCATATATATTGAATATATGCATAATGTGTGTATATGTTTAAATATGTTATATATTTAAATGTGTATATATATTAAAAGGGCTGACTTAATTTCTTAGCAGAGTGTTTTGTCTTATTTAGATAAGTTTTGAGTTAGAAATCTCATGGCTATTAAATTCTAAAATTTCAGATTGATCTTTTGGTGGGAGCAATGACTAATAACAATATGAATGGGAAAAATGAGGTCATCTATTGAAAAAACAACGTACTAAATGAAGTTCATATTTAAAAATTAACACCTACTTTTCTCAACCCCTTGACTTTGCATTTTAGATTTTGGGAGAAATATTTTAATCAATCTCAGGGCTGAAGCAGAGCGCACTGGTTAAATAACTCTCCATTTGTCAAATTATGTCAACATGGGGATGGGGCTGCATACATTTCAGAAACCTCAGCTTGGTTTAATAAGAATTGCTATGTATGTTTATGAACTTGGAGGCCAAACTCCTTAGTGAAATACTGACAAATCAGATCCAGAAGTATTTAAAACAAGGATGCATCAGAATGAAGTCAGGCTTAACTCAGGAGATCAAGAATGATTCGCATTAGAAAACACAATAAAGTAATGCATTAGGTTAAGGCAAAAGGCAGCGGTGTGGAGGGGGAGCTAGGAGAAGGCATGGGAAGAAGCCAGACTCTCCTTTCCCACATTAGCTTGGGGCAGAGTGGTTCATAAAACCCAAAGGCAGATTTCCACTTGACTCTTATTCAGGACTCCACGTTGTTCTTCAGTCCACTATGGCTTGGCTGCAGTAACAGAGACAGCCCAATTTTAATACATAAATAAATTTTTTTTCCAGCTTTCCAAAAAGGAACAAAGAATTTCTTTTTGTAGGGCACATTCTGATTCTAATCAATGGGTTAGTGGTGCTTTATTAGACACTCAATTTGAAATGTGTATCTCAATGATTCAAAGTAAAATCTTACTTCAAAATCTCTTATGAATACCTTGATTTGCTGAGTTTACAGCATAGAGTCTAAAGAGTACAGAGCCAGGAGGGAGGGTTTTCTTGGAAACAAAGCTGAGAGATAGCACTTTCAATCATAGTTTATGTTGCTTTAGTGAATGGTAGTGGACACCAGGGAAAGATCCATTTACCATTCAAATGCATTCTTCTTCAAGCTGAGGCTCTGTGTCCCTTCCTGTGAAATCCAAGAACAGGGAACTAGCAAAGAATATGGGACTCTCATTCCGTTCTCGGAGGCTACATATCAAAGATGCCAGGACAGCGGGGCCATGGAACCTGGGTGACCGGTGCCTCCATCGGCAGGGTCCAGAAAGAGCACTGATCGGGCGCTCTAACCTAACCGGGCTGAGAACCCTTTTCTTCTCAGTTTCTCGTTTCCTCTTGATTGGCTTCCCAGCGTAGATGCTTGTGTCTGTCCCAGGAAGAAGGCCACTGTTCTTTTCACCTTCAAGCATTCCTCAACTGTCCACTCTGCAGGCGGGCATTCCCCACTCGGGAAAGGTGGGATCATTCCCTGGTTTCCTTTGGGCAGATGGGCTTCAGCAATTGGGAGGCAGACTTATTAACACTGAAAGGGTAAAAGCCATATGATCGTTTTAATAGATGCTTTTTAAAAATAAGAAGAAAATATGCAGTTTCAGATTAGTGGGTAAGGAATGACTGGTGTTTGAATAATTAGCTAGTCAGTTGGGGGGGGGGAATAAAACAACCAGACCCCCAAAATATATTTCAGATGAATTCCAGAATTAAATATAAATAATAAAAATATAAAGGTATTACAAAAAAGACAAATAGTACCTTACATAGACCAAAACACAAAAAGCAAAGGTATAAAGGATAGATGTGATGACATAAAAATAAAAACAACACACTGCCAAGTTAAAAGACAACTGATAAGAGGAAATATTTGTAACATATAACAAAAAATGAGTATGAAGAATCATACATATTAAGAGGGAAAAGATAAACTATCTATAGAGCAATAAACTAAAGATATAAAACTGCAATTTGCAGAAAAGAAAACACAAATAGTCAATAAATATCTGAAAAGGCCTCCTTGATGATCCATTTGAGTTACATTTTGTGTATCGTGTAAGATAGTAGTGGAGTTTTATTCTTTTGCATTTGGATGTCCAGTTTCCTTCTTTATTTAAAGTCAACTGATTATAAATGTTAATCACTTCTCCACAGTAACTTCACAGCAACCTCTAGAGTAGTGTTTGGCCAAAGAACTGGGCACCATAGCCTAACCAAGTGACACTTAAAATTAACCAACTCAGTGTGAAGTTCAACAAGGATAGATGACCAAACCATAATGGTAGGTGAAAAGGGCATTTTGCAAGTAAATATGACAGCATGCCATTAAAAATATATTTTTTAAGCATACAACTAAACTACACGTGTCTTTGGGTAAAGACAAAGAAAAAGGAGACTATTAATATCACTGAATTAATAATTATGGTTATTTCCCTGAGGAAGGGGGACAGATATTGGGGGGATAAAGTACCAAAAGGTGTCTTTGCTTTATCTTCACTGCTTGACTCTTAAAACTATGACCATGTACTGTTACATAACTTGGGTGTGTCATTTCAATTGGACAGCAGATTTTGCTTGCCTACTGTTTGCCAGGTCCTGTCCTTAGTGCTGAGACTAGAGAGGTGAACAAATAGTGAGAGGTGATCTCTGTATAGATTCAAAGCTGATGTGTGCAGAGCACAAAACCTCAATGGCAGTGCTCTCAGGAGCAGACTTGCTGTCAGAGATCAGGACTTTGGCGTCAAAAAACCAGCAATGCTCCCCATGATGGGGTAAAGCCATCTTGGGTCACCTCTACTTTTTGAGGAACACATATAATATTAAGTTTTATTTCCATCTTTTCCCATGCTTCCTTCATATGTTTCTTATGATCTTTTCTCTCTTACAAAAAAAACCCCAGAAAATATTTGATGTCATCCAGTGAAAGTAACACCAGAGTAAAGAAACAGCGTTAGTTTTCAGTGCATTTTGGTGAGTGAGAACGCCTTTCGATGAGGTATCGATGGTCTCGGGTATGGAACCTGGCCGGCGCTCGATTTAGATGAGAGAGGACATGTGAGAAGGCACAACCTTCCTGTGCCTTTTTTCCTGCTTGGCAGATCCCTACATTCACTGCTACTAGTGATACCCAGGCTACACCACGTTGGGTTTCTTAAACTTCTCCAATCTTAGCCGATTTCCTTGTGGACTGTAGCATTTTGTTGAGCTCAGTGGAATCCTAAGAAACTAGACGAAAACTTGTGAAAATAAAACTGTCTTGATGCATGTAATGGATGGCTGACAACCATTTGGCGTTGACAGATTTCTTATTTGTTCTGCCTGGATGGTCAACAAGTCTGACTTGTCCTGCTGGTCTTGACTGGCTGAGGCTAGCGGTGTCCTCTGGATGGCTGAGAACTGGAGGCCAGCTGTGACAGTAGGTGCGTTAGTGTCCTGGGGCTGGCTTGGTTCTCAGTCTGGAGGCTGGAATCCACGCCCGAGTGTCTGCTGCTCAACACTGCGTCCCTCGGAGGGCTGTGGGGCTGAATCTCTCGATGCCTCGTCCAGCTCCTGACAGTAAGCTTATGTTTCAGACAAGACTTTTGTGTAACTGAAAGTTGTTTTCGGCTTTATTTAACTTGTGTTCATTGGCTTATTTTAAATATATGATAGCTATGGCTTGGAACTTTTCACAAGTTAAATTGATATATCTTTGAAAGTCACAGAAACTTCTGATATGTGTTTAATCATTTAGACATCATTTCGTTTGAAACTTTTCCCAAGTTTAAATACAAATGTCTTTAAAAACGATGTCTTTACTCCAGCTGGTGTGGCTCAGTGGTTGAGCATCAACCCATGCACCAAGAGGTCATCGGTTCGATTCCCGGTCAGGGCACATGCCCAGGTTGTGGGCCCGATCCCAAGTGGGGGCCATGCAGGAGGCAGCCAGTCGATGTTCTCTCTCATTCATGTTTCTGTCTTGCTCTCCCTCTCTCTGTAAAATCAATAAAGGAAAAAAAAGTTCTCTTGTGTCTTTAAAAAAAAAAAATACAATAAAGTGTTTGGGAAGCACTTTGTGGTATTTAAAAAAATAAATAAATAATAAAAATGATGTCTTTAAAAATCTTATGTGTTCAATCATTTAGGCATCGGAGAGGTTCTCCTCTTTCATCCTAATCAGTACCCAGGCCATTTCTCAGAGTCTTCATCTGAACTTCCAGGATTCCAGGGACAGAAGCCTGAGCTGGCCTATCATGGTGAAGCAAAATGACAGCCACAAAGAAATCCTTTCTAGTGGGTTTCCATGTTGAAATGTAGGAGACTGCAATTTCCAAGGACAGCCACAACCGTAGCTTCCGTCCCACATGCTCTTCTAAGTGACCTTGTCTCCTCTAGGCATGAGGTGGACCCTCAGCCCCTCCCCTGGATCCCGGGCTCTTTCTGGTAATGTTCCCCAAATTCAATACAGCAGCAGGGATTCCACTGGGGACTAAGACTGGCTCATAAGGAGCCATGTGGTTCCTCACTGGGCGTCTGGCACCCTGTCTCTAGGGACATTCCTCCCGGAGCCCATCTTTATGCTGTGGGAGCCCAAACCATGCAGGGCCTGTGTACAAGCTCTGGTCATCATCCAGGCTGAACGCCAGCCCACACCAGCATCTAGGACAGTCACGGGAGTGACACGAGCCCAGTTAGACCTACAGACGACTGCAGCACGCAGGGGAGACTCCCAGTGGTAAAGCACAAAGATAAGCCCAGTTAGGAAATGGGAAAGATGGTTGTCATCAAGCTGCTGTTTCAGGGAGTGTTTCCCGGTAAGAGATAACCAGACCAGTCTCCTCACCTCATCCCCGTGGTTCCCCCATGTCCTTAATGCCAGGTGGGGACCCAGCCTCATCGCCCAACCTCAGCTCCCCCTTTCCCACTCTCTCTAAATGTGGTTTCTCTCTCCCAGAGATTCTGACCACAAGTCTCTGCTCAGACACTCACCTTTTATACTGTCTGACTGACTGGTCCCCTGGGTTCGTGTCAGATTTCTCCTCCTCCTGGTGTCCCCAGGACCTCCCTCTCCCTCACAGCACCAGCTCTTCCTGGAGGGTGGGAATGTCCTCTACAAGGTGACGACTGGGACACAGTGGGATGACATCACTTCCAGATGTTTCAATATAGGTCCAGTTCGGCAGAAGTGATTCATCTCAGGAGCCTCGCAACACTTCCTGTGACCACACTTTTTGCTATGATCACAGAACCCTCAGTTTCACTCTAAACACATTTGTCATTTTAGGTCAGAAAGTTATAAATTTAAGGACCTACGAGGGAAGGCCCCACTGAGGGTCCAGCATGGCACGTGGTCCGGGACAGATGGACTTGACCAGAGGCTGCGGAGACCTTGGGGGCTGAGGCCCCGGTTGTCCTACACTTCATGTCTTCATGGGTAATTACGGGTCTATTAACAAATACTTCCACCTACTCTGTGTATTTCCTTGAGTGGCAACATGAAAAGTTTAAACATACAGACAACAAGTGGAACCATGTGCTTCCGTAGCCTGCAGGATGTAGGGAGGCTTTTTTTTTTTTAATCCTCACCCGAGGACATCCTTCGATATTTTGTTCAGATAGAGAGAGAGGGAGAGAGAGAGAGAGAAACATCGACGCGAAAGCGACACATCGAGTGGTTGCCACCCACACGACCCAACCAAGTGGGGACAAACTGCAACCAAGGTACATGCCCTTAGTGGGAACCGAACCCGGGTCTCTCTGGACCGCAGGCCGACGCTCTAACCGCTGAGCCAAACCGGCCAGGGTGGTTTATGTGTTTTTTAAAAAATAAATTCAGAGTTAAGGTAGCCAGGCATAAATTAAGCCTCAGACTATCACTGTTGACCCTCTCGCCTATCTTCAACCTTGGAGGCCACAGCACTGTTTCTGAAGCCCAGCCTCAAATCCAGGGTCTTATCCTTCTCCCCTTGTGGCCCCAAAGACAAACATTCTTGGCAATCCAGCCTGTTTTGTCCTTTCTCATCTGCAAAGTAGCCACAGGAGCTTTATGGGAAGTTGGAGAAGATGCTTCAGAAACTGACACTGTAACATTTGTCCTGTCACTCACCTGGGTCATAACCATCTTGTGTCAAATGACCATGACCTCTCAGATCCCTTTCTAGTCTGGAAATCCTATATATGTGTAATCACTTATTTAATATGGCAAGTTTTTTTTTTTTTTTTGCTTATTAAAACAATTTACCTTTGTCCTTTATGGATCATTTGTCAAATTTTGCTCCATTCAAGGGTTCGGTCAGACACAGCCAATGGACAACTAACATGAGATCTGCATATTCACGAGTAGAAGAGCCAGAGGCCCCGCCTTCTCCTCATGGACCCCTAGCACCTTCTGTTACATCTTTAGAGCCCAATTACATTTTTCACTATAAAAAAAGTTAATGTTTTAAAAACAAAAAGAAGCCCCACCTCTACTCTAAAATTAAGTTTTGTTTTAAAAGAGAAAACTTAAACATCCTTTTAAACATAAAAATGCAAAAGGTATTAGGCAAGTCAATCATTCAAAACTGTTAACACAGTAATTAAAGAAGTGGTAACATTTTACCAGTGTAAAATGTCACCCAATTCAAATCACAGCTTAGATCTTCAATGACTCGAGTGTTTCATCCCACAGGTCTGAGACGTTCTCTTCTTCACCATGTCTGTGTCAGCAGCATCTCACACAGTGGGGTAGCTGGCGGCGCTGGCAATTCCACAGTGGTTGTCCCGGTCCTTGGCCATCTTTATGTAGCCATCTGTGCCCCATGTGGTACCCCAGCTGAAAGAACAGAGGATTTTCCATTTTTTACAAATAACCAAACACATTTATCTTTATTAACAACAACACTTGATGCTAAAACAGTGCACCTGAGGCCCAGACAGATTCAGAAAGAAGCAGGCGAGTCTGCTGTTGTTGTTCATGGCTGAGTTCCAAACCTACACATAATTCTATCCACAAACCTTTTACAGAACCTCAAAATTAGAGATGAAAAAGAAGCTCTTTGGGCCAGAGGTTGCTAAGAACATTTTCAAATTTAGAAAAGCAACGGTACCAGAACTATTTCAATGCCCTAGCAAGCTTGAGACAGTCTCTTAATGTTGCAATCAAATGTTTATGTCTGTGTTCACTCTAAGTGGGATAAAGACTCTGGGAATTTAGAGGCGTGCTCAGAGGTTTGAGGACCTGTATCCAAATACTGACTCCAAAAAGGATTCCACTTCAAATATCAAACATAAGTATTTTTGGCATTTTATACCTATTCTTGACAATCCAATATTTATTGTTGTCTGATTCCACTCCTTGAAAGCCATAGCCAACCACCAGAACACCATGATTCAGTTCCTCGCTGCTGCAGTCTGGATCATAATAAATGCCTAGGAAAATAAAAGTCAATACTGGGGTAAAAACCTCTAGGTAAGACATGACAGTAATTCAACCTACCAATCACAGTAAGGGAGGATCTCAAAATTCAGTTAGATGACATAAATCCACATAAGATTTAAAAACAAGATTTTTTAAACATCTAGGCTGGGAGTCGGGCCCTCCTGTAATACTAACAGAAATACAAATCACCACTATCACTTTTAAAAACAACTTGTCAAGAGGCATAAAAAGACCACTTGTTGAAACCTTATTCTACTTTTAGGATGTCAATCTAAGACAACAGCACAGAACACAAAATTACTTGAACTAAGAGTTTTTTCCAGTTCTAATTTCAGTAGTAAAATTCTTTGAACATTTTAAAGGTCAAAATTTTAAAAAGTAAAGTAAAATAAGCTATACCAATCAAATTATGTGGCCATTTGAATTATGAAGCACTTAACATCATGGGGATACAGGTCAAGTCATGTTGAATGGAAACATCTGGCATACATATTACATGTACAGAATGCACAACTATGTCAAACACACTCACCCAGGAATGCTACATTGAATTCTATACACCGAAGTGTTGGCCTTGCTGAATGTCAGAGTGGTTTTATAATTTTTCTGCCTAAATCTATATAAAGACAAATCTTTACCTTTTTTATAGAACTGGAAGGATGTAAGGCTTGCATCTATAGCAACAGAGATGGGCCCCACACTTGCCACTGCTTTCATAAGGGCCCTCTCCTTCTTATGGATGTCCACAAAGCCAGTGTCATTGGCAGCAGAAAACTCAGGCTTGTATTTGCAAGTGTCATCCTTTTAAAGGTAAAAGGAGAGAGACTTCATTACAACCTACCTCTTGGGGAACATGAGTTCAAGACAGCTGGAAGTTTAATGACTTCTAAATCCAGTTTGTTATAAAGCATCCCAGGAGGTGAAGTGCTGTTGGTTGCTTTGAAATGGAAGAACTAGCTGGTGTGTCCATTCAATGAGATACTCTCGGTCTACCTGTCCTTTTCTTCTGGAGAAATTTGTACTACATAGAGAATGGTATGTAAATCTCCATATAACACAGAAGTAGGAACAGCTATATGGTAACCATCTAAGCAGAGAATGTGGCATTCTGACAGTTTGTGGATATAAATTCTCCAGCCTAAAATATAAATTCTAAATATGGTATCTGTTTTCTCTGAAGTGTTTAACACTCAAAAGCAGAGTTAGAATGATAAGAAGTGCATTTTACCGTTGCATAATATGGGTAGGATTCCTCTGAGTCCAGGCCTTGGTTGTCCTTGACATACTGGAAGGCGTTGTCCATTAGGCCACCATTGCAGCCGTTATTGCCTTGAGACCAAGAGCAGTCCACCAGGTTCTGCTCACTCAGTGAAACAAGTTTGCCAGTTTTCCGGAACATCTGTCCTTCAAGGGCACCAGTTGCACTAAAAGCCCAGCAAGAACCACACGAACCCTGAAAACAAAATTCAAAAGTGCTCAGTCTACGAAACAAATAGCAAGATATACCTTTGACAACAGCCGATACATCAGGAAACTCTTTTAAAAAATAGCAAACTGCACCTTGTTCCACGGTACACCGTTTCAGGGACAGCAGCTCTTTTATGGCTTCCCTCTCAGAGAGACCTGCTGAACACTGTCATACCTGATTCTTCACAGGAGTTACATAGCCCTCCTCTCTCCAATCCACAGATCGGGGGACCTGGGCAAGGGCAGGCTCTCGGAACACTTTCCCGGCCCTGTGCTTCTGGTTTTGAAACCCATTCATCACCTGCCTGAATTCTTCATTGGTCTTCGAGGAAAAGGAAATAGAAAGTTATAAAGGAAGAGAATATTTTGTTGAAGTACTAGGAGAGGAGACACAAAAGCGAGGCCTCCCCCACCACACTCACCATGTCACCAAAGGCATTCATTGCCATGGTGAAGCCATGTTTCCCTTGCTCGTATCCCCAATTGTGCAGTTCAATCATTTTCATGTTCTTCTCCCACACTGCTCTCCTCCACCTTTCTTCATTCTAGAGGCAAAGAAATCAGCCATGGTCTTTATTTCTACTTAAAACCAACTCACCTTCACCAAGTGGATTTGCAGACAGGGACGAAGACAAACCACTGTCAAGGATGTCTCTATACCTCAGGGACCTGTTCTCCAGCACCCACACAACAGGGGATGTATACCCTATTGTGTTAGTAATGGGTGCCATGAAGTTATGACCTGAGCCAGTCTCAAGGAGCTACTCTCTGCTATAAACTCCCAACAGCAAGGATCATTCTCTGCGGGGTCCCCTCTGGACAGTTTCAGATGTTATCAACCTGATTATATAGTTTCCCATGCGTTGTCTTCCACTGGTTCCATTGTGCGTCTGAACTGTGATCAAGGTTTGGAGCAGCTGAGGCTATTCCCAAGCACAGGGCAGCCAGGAAGAGGGAAGGATTCATATTTCAAAAAGCTAGGAAGAAAGAGAAGTGAGTCTCTGATTGGACCATTTCTCCCCCTGAGACCTTATAAGCCACCATGGAGTAAAACATTTAATTTACCCTCCCAAATAATTACATAAGGACTGTGGAGGAAAGCTAAGGGTGTGGGTGGAGAAAAACAATCCTGAGACCCCCATTCCCACGCCCAGGGTGAAGCTCTCCAGGGGTCAGAGAACCAGTTCAGGGTCAGGTAACACAGGCTCTGCAGACCGAACTGCAAGAGGCGTGCTGCCCCGCTCCCAGCCCTCCGCACACGCCAGCCACTCCCAGAGGATGTTGACGCGGTGGAGAGAGCGGAGGTCAGACCTGGGGACATCGACTCCTAGGATCCCTGAACCCTCGATCCCCAAGGCTGGCAGCGGCCCTAGATCCCCGGGTGGCCCGGCTGCGCCAGGCCCAGGCCTGGGGAGGGAGTGGGGTGCTCACCAGCGGAGGGAGCGGCTGCGCAAACGCAGTCCGCACGCGCAGGTCCAGGGATCTGCAAGGCCGGGGCTGTGACCCCCAGGCCTCGCATTTAAGGCCCCGGGTATCGGCCTCGCCCCACCCCGCCCCGCCCCCACTGCCAGCCCGCGCCGAGATTGGTTGAGCCGGCCTGTGGGCGGGGCCTTCGGGTGCCGGGACTCCTGGCTCGTGACCAGGCTAGGTCCCAACTTGTCACAGGGCAGATGGTACCTACCTCACTGGACACTGTGGGAGGTGAGCTGGGGGCCTAGGGACAGCTCTGGGGGTGCGGGTGGGGGGCGTGGGAGGAGTCCCGTGCCTCCCTGGGGACCTGGATCAACTGAATACCGCGAATTTCTGGCGTCAGCAGGTGGTTTACGGAACGCCCCAAGTGGATTTCAGTGTAACCCTGCCTTTTAGAGTTGGTTAAAATCCCTAGAGCGCTGAGAACAGCAAAATCTAGCCTAGTGGTTCCTGTTTGTTCCCAGCAAACTGGGCGGGCTGCAAGGCAGAGGCGCGGGCAGACGGGCTCCCTGTTCCCGGGGGCGCAGCTGCTGGGAGGAATCTGAGGGGAAGGACGGCGCCCAGGGCTCCGACACGATGGTCGAGGCCCAGGTCCCTGCAGGGAAAGGGGGCGGACTGGCAGGTGCCCAGGGAAGGCTGGCGTTTGGAGCGCTCCTTTCCTGTCTTCCCAGGTCGGGAGTGTCTCCATCACAGCCTTCCTCGAAATCCACAGAAAGCGGTCATTTACAGAAAAGTGTGCTTTAATAAACGAAGGAAAGTAGAAACTGCTTTTACCTTCCCACTCTCTGCCTTGTGGATTATGCCTTCCTCAAAGAGATTTTTTGAGATTTAATTTAAGAAAGTTGCTTTAGCCCTGGCCGGTTGCTCAGCGGTTAGAGCGTGAGCCATGGACCAGAGAGACCCAGAGAGGTTCCTGCTAGGGGCACGTACCTGGGCTGCAGTTTGTCCCCGCCCCGCTTGGGGTCCTGTGGGTGGCAGCCTCTTGATGTGTTTCTCTCACATTGATGCTTCTCTTTTCCTCTTTTTCCCTTTCTCCCTCCTACTCTATCTGAAGATAAATGCAAAAAAATGTCCTCAGGTGAAGATTAAATAAAAAATAAAATAAAAAAGAAATTTGCTTTAGTGACTTTTACTTCAATGTTTTTAAATTTACATTTAATGTCAGGATTTAAAGGACAGTTTGTGAAAATGCTTTAAATGGAGGTAAATATATTTATATATTAAATATTAATGTACATAATTAAGATTTTAAGGAACATAAATCAGAAACATACATTTGTTCTTTTTTATTGCAAAAAATTTTCATTGTTGAAAATAACCTCTATAACAAATATTATCAGTACCTTGTTTCCCCTACCACCTCATCCTTTTCTAGGCATATTTTGGAATCCTTTGATAAAAATGGTGTCATGTTTCATGTGGACTTGTGAACTAATTCCTATTTAGGACTAAATTGATAAACCTTCTAGAAGCACTATCAAACGCATAGTTTTGTTTTATTTTACTGTGGTGACATGTATGTAACATAAAAATTTGCATTCTGACCATTTTTAAGTGTACAGTTACTGGCATTAAGTCCACTCACATTGTTGTGTAACCATCACCACCATCCATCTTCAGAACTTTTTTGTCTTCTCAGATTGAAACTCAGTACCTGTTACACAATCACTCTGCATTTCTTCCTCCCCCAAACCTCTGCAACCATTCTTCTATCTTCTTTTTTTTTTTTTAATGGATTTTAGAGAGAGAAAGGAAAGGGAGATAAAAACATCGATGAGAGAGAACATGGATTGGCTGCCTCCTGCATGCCCCCCACTGGGGATCGGGCCCACAACCTGGGCATGTGCCCTGACCAGGAATCGAACCAGTGACCTCTTGGTGTATGGGCCGACGCTCAACCACTGAGCCATTCTATCTTCTTTATCTATGAATTAGACTACTCTAGTTAACTCACATAAGTGGAATCATGTGATATTTGTTTTTTTGTGCCTGGCTATTTCACTAACATAATGTCTTCAAGGTCCATCCATGTTGTAACATGTGTCAGAATTTCCCTTTTTGAAAGGTGAATAATATTACATTGTGTGATTGTACCATCTTTTATTTCTTCAGTCATCCTTATATGGACAAATGGGTTATTTACACATTTGCCTGTTTTGAATAATGCAGCTGTCCACATAGTTGTATAAATGTTTGAGTTCCTGGTTTCAGTTCTTAGGGTGTATACACAGAAGTGGATTTGCTAGATATGGTAATTCTATGTTTAATTTTTTTTCTCTGTTTTCCACAGTAGCTGCACCATTTTACATTTCTACCAGAATTGTACAGGGAGGATTCCAATCTGATATTGTGACAAAAATGTGACAGGCACCTCTCACATACACCAGAGAAGTGTTAAAGTGTTACTGGACAGCCCCCTGAATCGGAGGGAAAGGGTTGTCCCCAACCTCCATCCTTGTCTTCTCATATAAAATAATTTGTATAAGAGACTCTAGATAATATTTGCATTATGTTCAGTGAATTTATTAAAATATTAAAGCATGCACACTTATTAATGAAACAAAGCAAGCAAACCTACACATCTGGTTTACAAAGCACAGATGGACCTCAGCTAATCTGAAGAGCAAGTAGGGTGGGTAGTTTCTGCATTATATACCTTTTTAAAGTTTCTTTGTTAGATATCCTGGTACAGATTAACTCTAAAAGTCTCCCTTTTCTTTGTTACAACTTTCCCATAATTTGTGGGAGGTACCTGGCAATTAAATCCTGACTCCTGGCTTTTTCTGTTCATACTCTTTTTTTCCTCCTCCTCCTTGCTGTTCTAACAACTTCAGGATGATTTACATTAAGTAGTCTTTGATTCCTCCTCCTTCTTCCCCCTTCCTTCCTCCTCCTCTTCTGCATCCAGGTTTTAACCTGTGTTCTCAAGATAAGACCCTGCTACAAGGGGCCTGCAAAGCTTTTTTTAACTTTCCTGTCACAATTTCCCTTATCCCAGAATTTTCCTGGCTTTTCATTGTCCTACAGCAATATGACTTGCAAACATTTTCTTGAATTCTGTGAGTTGTTTTTCATTAAGTTGATAGCGTCCTTTGGTGCACAAAAGTTTTTTAACATTGATGAAGTTTGATTTGTCTATTTTTTTCTTTGGTTGTCTGTTCTTTTGGTGCCATAACCAAAAAATTGTTACCAACTTACTCTCATGAGATTATTCTTTTATGTTTTCATCTAAAGTTTTATAGTTTTGCTGTTAAGTTCGGTCTTTGATCCATTTTGAGTTAATATTTGCATATGGTGTAAGGTGAAAGTCCAACTTCATTCTTTGTCTATAGATACCCCATTCTCCCAGCATGATTTGTTGAAATGACCACCCTTCCTTTTGAATGGTCCTGGTAACCCCATACAATTTTGAAATTCAGTTATTAAAATTTTTATTTTAAGGTCTTTGATTAAATAGAATCTCAAACACAGCTGGAGCTCTTAGATGATTGCAACATTATGTTGTATGGTAAATGACTGGAGGGTTAAAATAGTTTTAATATACCATGGAGTTCAATACAATCAATCATTCAAGAAATCTAAGTACATCTTCTAATATACAGTTTTACAGTTGCCCTTGGGTCACAGAACGAAAAGACTGCACAGGGTGGAGAACCTGCGATGCAGGGACACCTGCACCTTCGGCAATAACCTCGCAGGAGGCTGTGAAGCAGGTGTAGCTCCAAAGAATGGCATCGCCTTTGTTTCTGGACTGTGACACAATGCACTGGAGAAAGCATGGACTGTTTTTATACCAAATGTGTCCCAAATCTAGAATGAGAACAAGAAATGTCTAAATTCCACAGAAATATGAGAGGCCATTTAAGCAAGAATTTGTAACATCTATTTATATAGAATCTGTTAAATAACATCTTACAGAAAGACAACATGGGTCATCATTTTGTTATTTTTTCTGCTCTTCTGTCTTCATTTCTTTGTCAGATAACTGAGATGAGTCCTATTATTTTTCATGGGGTTTTTAAATTGAATTTATTGGGGTGACATTGGTTAATAAAATTATATATGTTTCAGGTTTACAATTCTACAATATGTCATCTGTATATTGTATTGTGTGTTTAACACTCCAAGTCTCCTTCCATTACCATTTATCCCCCCCTTGTCTTCTTCTACCTCCCCCACCCCCTTCCCACTGGCAATCACCATACTGATATGTGTCCATGAGTCTTTCTTTTTTTCTTTGCTTAATCCCTTTCTGACCCAGTCCCAAACTTCTCCCCTCTGACAGCTAGCTGTAAGTCTGTCCTCTGCATCCAAGAGTCTGTCTTCACTCTGTTGGTTTATTTTGTCTGTTAGATTCTACATATCAGTGAAATCATATGGTACTTGTTTTCTTAGCCTGGCTTATTTCCCTTATCATAATACTCTCTAAGTCCATCCAGGCTATCACTAAAGGTAAGATTTCCATCTTTTTTCAGCTGAGTAGTCCTCCACTGTGTACCACAGCTATTTTATGCACTCGTTTACTGATGGGCACTAGAGCTGCTTCCAAATCTTGCCTATTGTAAATAATGCTGTAATGAACGTAGGGGTGCATGTATTCTTTCAAATTAGTGTTTTAGGGTTTTTTGGATATATTCCCAGGAGTGGAATTGCTGGGTCATAAGGCAGGTTCATTTTTAACTTTTTGAGGAAACTCCATACTACTTTGCATAGTGGCGGCAGCAGTCCACATTCCCACCAACAGTGTACGAGGGCTCCCTTTTCTCCACATCCTCGCCAGCACTTGTAGTTTGTTGATTTCTTAATGGTGGCCATTCTGACAGATGTGAGGTGATATCTCATTGTGATTTTTATTTGCATTTCTCTGATAATTAGTGACTGAGCATTTTTTCATATGTCTATTAGCTAACTGTATGTCCTCTTTGGAGAAGTGTCGATCAGGGTCCTCTGCCCATTTCTTAATTAGATTGTTTGATTTTTTTGGTGTTGAGCTTTGTAAATTCCTTATAAATTTTGGATATTTAGCCCTTATCAGTGAATATGTTTGCCCATTTGGTGGGTTTTCTTTTCATTTTGTTAAGGTTTTCCTGTGCAGTGAAAACTTTTTAGTTTGATGTAGTCCCATTTGTTTATTTTTTCTTTTGTTTTCTTTGCCCAAGGAGATATATCAGAAAAAAAAACATTGCTATGAGAAATATCTGAGATTTTACTGCCTATATTTTCGAGTCTAACATTTAAGTCTTTAATACATTTTGAGGTTTATCCTTGTTTATGGTGTAAGAGGGGGGCCTAGTTTGATATTTTGCTCATATCTGTCCAATTTTCCTACTACTATTTATTGAATAGACTGTCTTTACTCCTTTGTATGTTTTTGTCTCCTTTGTCAAATATTAGTTGACTATGAAGGCATGGGTTTATTTCTGGTCCCTCTACTCTATTCCATTGATCTATGTGTCTATTTTTATGCCAGTACCATGCTGCTTTGATTGCTATGGCCTTGTAGTATAGTTTGATGCCAGGTAGCATGATTTTTCCAACTCTGTTCTTCTTTATCAAGAATGCTGTAGCTACTTGGGTGCTTTTGTGGTTCCATATGACTTTTTGGAGTATTTGTTCTGGTTCTGTGAAATATTCCATTGGTATCTTGATAGAAATTATGTTGATACTTACCTGGCAGGGGAGATACCATGATCACGGAGGTGGTTTTCCCAGGGCGAGGCTTATCCATTGCACTCCGGATGTGCTGACCCCTGCGATTTCCCCAAATGTACATATACACAATGGAGTACTACGCAGCGGTAAGAAAGAAAGATCTCTTAATCTTTGAGACTACATGGAGGGACCTGGAAAGTATCATCCTAAGTGAAACAAGCCAAACAGAGAAAGACAAATTTCATATGATCTCACTTATTTGTGGAATATAATGAACATAACAGTTTGAGGAATGGGGTAGTCCCAGAGACGCGGAAGCGGGGTACAGACTGACAATCCCCTAAGGAGTGGGGAGGTGGGGGAGGGATGAACCACAGAACTTATACGCATGTATGCATGAACAGTGGACATGGACAACAATCTGGGGAAGGGGCAGGGACGGGAGTGGGAGGGGGGAATCAGTGGGGGGAAAAAGGAGAATCATCTGTAACAAAAATTAATCAATAAAAAAAAGAAAAAAGAAATTATGTTGAATCTGTAGATTGTTTTGGGTAATATGGACATGTTAATGCTCTTAATTATTCCTATCTGTGAACACAGTATATGCTTCCACTTATTTGTATCTTCTTCAATTTCTTTCTTTAGTGTTTTATAGTTTTCTGAGTATAGGTTTTTGCATCCTCGGTTAAATTTACACCTAAGTATTTTTTTAAGCAGTTGTGAATGAAATTGTTTTCTCAGTTTCCCTTTCTGATAATTCCTTATTGGTGTATAAAAATGCAACTGATTTCTGCATATTTATTTTATATCCTGCTACATTACTGAATTCATTATCAGTTCTAGTAGTTTTTTTTTGGTGGAATCCTTAGGGTTGTCTATATATACTATCATGTCATTTGCAAATAATGACAGTTTTACTTCTTCCTTTCCAATTTGGATGCCTTTTACCTCTCCTTCTCTGATTGCTGTGGCGTAGACTTCCAGTATTATGTTGAATAAGAGTGGTGAAAGCAGACATCCCTGTTTTGTTCCTGATCTTAAGGGAAATGCTTTTAGTTTTGCTCATTGTGTGTGGTATTGGTGGTGGGTTCGTCAGATATGGCTTTTATTATGTTGAGCTATGTTCCCTCTAGTCCCACTTTGCTGAGAGCTTTCATTGTAATTGGGTGCTGGATTTTATCAAATGATTTTTCTGCATCTATTGATATGATCATGTGGTTTTTACCTTTATTTTGTTTATGTGGTATATCATGTTTATTGGTTTGTGGATATTGTACCAACCTTACAACCTTGGAATAAATCCCACTTGATCATGATCTTTTCAATATATTGCTGGATCTAGTTTGCTAATATTTTGTTGAGGATTTTAGCATCTATGTTCATCATGGATATTGGCCTATAATTTTATTTCTTTGTGGTGTCTTTATCTGTTTTGGGAATTAGGATAAGGCTAGCCTCATAAAATGAGCTTGGGAGTCTTCCCTCCTTTTGAATATTTTGGAATAGTTTGAGAAGAATAGGTGTTAGTTTTCTTTGAATTCTTGATAAAATTCACCCATAAAGCCAATTTGTTTGTTTGGAGTTTTTTTGTTTTTAATTACTGCTTCAATTTAATTAATTGTAATCTATCTCTTCACATTTTTTTATTCTTCCTGATTCGGTTTTGAAATATTGCATGTTTCTAGGAATTTGTCAATTTATTCCATATTGTCCAATTTATTGACATATAGTTGTTCATAATATTTTCTTACAATCTGTTGTATTTCTTTGGTGTTAGTTGTTACTTCTCCTTTGTCATTTCTGATTTCATTTATTTGAGTTCTCTCTCTCTCTCTTTCTCTCTTTTTTTTTTTAGTGAGACTAGTTAAAGGCTTATTAATCTTGTTTATCTTTTCAAAGAACCAGCTCTTGGTTTCATTGATCTTTGGTATTTTTTAGACTCTATTTTTAAATTTCTGCTCTGATCTTTATTATTTCCTTTTTTCTACTCACTTTGGGATTCCCTCCTTCCCCTAAGTTCCTTTAAGTGTAAGGTTAGATTGTTTATTTGACATTTCTTCATGTTCCTTGAAGTAGGCCTGCAATGCTATGGATTTCCCTCTTAGGATTCCTTTCACTGTGTCCCATAGATTTTTGGGTCATTATATCCTCATTTTCATTTGTTTCAAGGTATCTTTTGATTTCTTCCTTGATCTCATTGTTAACCCATTTATTGTTTAGTAACATGTTATTTAGCCTCCATGTCTTTGTGTGCTTTTCAGTTGTTCTCTTGTGATTGATTTCTAGTTTCATACCATATGATATGATTTCAGTCTTTTTATATTTATTGAGACTTTTTTTTGTCCTAACATGTGGTTTATCCTAGAAAATGTTCCATGTGCTCTTGAAAAGAATGTATATTTAGCTGCTTAGGGGTGAAATGCTATGAAGACAGCAATTAAATCCATCTAATTTAGTGTGTCATTTAAGGTTATTGTTTTGTTGATTTTCTGTCTAGAAGATCTATCCATTGATGTCAATGGGGTGTTAAAATCCCCTACTATGACTGTATACTCTCAATCTCTCCTTTTATGTCCATAAAGATTTGCTTTATATAATTAGATGCTCCTGTGTTGGGTGTGTAAATGCTTACAAGGGTTATAGTCTCTTGTTGAATTGCTCCCTTTATCATTATGTAATGTCCTTCTTTGCTGCTTACTATAGCCTTTGTTTTAAAGTTTGTTTTGTCAGATATAGGTATTGATACCCTAGCTTTTTTTCCATTCCATTTGCATGAAATATCTTTTTCCCATCCCTTTACTTTTAGTCTGTGTGTATCTTCCATTCTGAGGTGTGTCTCTTGTAGACAGTATATGTATGGGTCTTGGTTTCATATCCATTCAGCTACCCTATGTCTTTTGATTGGAGCATTTAAGCATTTTACATTTAAGGTGATTATTGATAGATACATTTTTTTTTTTATCCTGACCTGAGAACATCTTTTTATTTATTTTCAGATACAGCAGAAGGGTTAGAGGGAGGAAGAGAGAGAGAGAAACATTCATGTGAGAGAGACACAAGGACTGGTTGCCACCCACACAACCCCAACTGGGGTCGGGGACAAACTGCAACCAAGGTACGTGCCCTTAGTGGGAACTGAACCCGACCTCTCTGGTTCACGGGCTGATGCTCTAACCACTGAGCAAAACCATTCAGAATAATAGATACATATTTAATGTAATGTTATTCTTTTAACTCCTTTGTTCTTTTTTCGTATCTCTTGTACTTCTCCAATTTTATTTATTTATTTATTTATTTATTTTTGTTTGTTTGTTTGTTTTATCCTCACCCGAGAATATTTTTCTATTTTTTGTACAGATAGAGCGGGAGGGAGAGAGAAGAAGGGAGAGAGAGAGAGAAACATCGATGTGAAGAGACACATCGAGTGGCTGCCACCCGCACGACCAACCAGGGCCGGGGACAAACTGCAACCGAAGTACGTGCCCTTAGCGGGAACCGAACCCGGGTCTCTCTGGACCGCAGGCCGACGCTTTAACCACTGAGCCAAACTGGCCAGGGCAACTTCTCCAATTTTAAATGATAGCCTGAGTGGAAAGTAGCCTTAGTTGTAAGTCCTTGCTTTTCATCACTTTTAATATTCATGCCAATCTCTTCTGACTTAAAATGTTTCTGTTGAGAAATCAGTTGACAGGCTTATGGAAGCTCCTTTGTAAGTAACTGTCTTTTATAGCTTTTAAGATTCTCTCTTTGTCTTTAACCTTTGCCATTTTAATTATGCTGTGTCTTAGTGTGGGCCACCTTGGGTTCATCTTTTTTGGGATTCTTCACACTTCCTGGACTTGTGTGTCTTTTTTCTTCATCAGGTTAGGGAAGTTTTCTTTCATTATTTCTTCAAATAGATTCTCAATCCCTTGCTCACTCTCTTCTCCTTCTGGTACCACTGTGATGTGGATGTTGTTATACTTTGTGTTGTCTCAAAGATCCCTTAAACTATCCTCATTATTTTAAAAAATCTTTTTTCTTTGTGTTGCTCTGATTGGGTGTTTTTTCCCACCTTTTCTTCCAAATCACTGATTTTGAAGCTGCCTGTTAAGCTGAGTCATTGAGTCTCTGGTGTAGTCTCTGGTACTAGTGGATCCCCCATGAGGGGGAGGTGCCTGGTGGGCTTCAGGAAAGGTGGTGGGTATGGTACCCACACAAAGTTGCATGACTCTGTCCCAGATTTTGCCCTAACATCAGCAGGATGGAGCTACTAGGAATTGGGGGGGGGGGGGGGAGTTGGGCAACCAGAGCCTGGAGTTTGGGTCTTCCAGAAGCTGGGAGGTTGTTTCTATCAGATCTCCCATGAGGCAGAAACACCAGTAAGGTTCATGGGAAAGTAGGGGGGAATGGCCCCAGCTACAAAGCCAGGTAACTGAGTCACTGACACCCCCCAAGTCTGCCCAGACCTCTACACCCTGGCCAAGGCAGCTGACTCCTTAGCTGGACCTAAGTTCTATAGGGTGGGGCAAGAGGGAGTCCAAAGGATGGCACAGTTGCTTTCTCCCAAGCAGATTCTACAGTGAGAGAAGTCCTTTGTCCAAGAAACCTAGCTTCTGTGGTAGGGTAGAATGACTTAGCACAGGGATCCTGATAGCTGTCCTCCAGTTTCATCCCCAGAGCCTCTTCTCAGGTGATTCTGGTTCACTCCATTGTCACTCCAAAGCCTAGGGTAAGTGACTGTCAACAAAACTTTGTGTGTTGGCCCTTTAAGACAGTACCTGTGTCTCCAGCTGTCTCTTCCTGGAGGACAGAAACCCCCACTGCTTTTCACAGCAAACTGTTATGTGAGTGCCTCTTCCTGGCTTTGGTGCTCTGGGCTGGGGATTCAAACTAGCCAGAGATGAAAATGTTTTAAATGCAGGAAAAGTATATATGTGTGTATATATATATATATGTATATATATGTGTATATATATGTATATATATGTATTTTTTATCCTCACCTGAGGACATTTTTCCATTTTTTGTTCAGATAGAGTGGGAGGGAGAGAGAGGAAGAGAGAGAGAGAGAGAGAGAGAGAGAGAGAGAGAGAGAGAGAGAGAGAGAGAGAGAAACATTGACGTTAAAGGGACACATCAAGTGGTTGCCACCCGCACAACCAACCAGGGCCGGGGACAAACTGCAACTGAGG